TCCATCAAAACGTTCAAGATTGAATTTTAGTCTCCAAAATAAAACAAGCGACTGTTCAGGCAACCCTCTTCAGTCTTCGTGACCATGGAAGAGTTATTCGCTTCCATGTGCTTGGGATTCTGTCTAGGCCAGGCACACGGCTGAATGCACCTGGTTAATTTGGTACCAAACTTTCAGTAGTGCCAACTGAACTTCCTAATCTGTTCTGACTTTTGTGATCACCTCCATAACCTGAAATTTAGCCTTTGTGGTGATCTGAACCTGTTTCTAAGATCTGTCTGCACTTTGGCTCCAGCCTCTGAGAGACTTTCAGTGCATGTAGTGTGTTCTGCTACTACTGGTTCTTTTAATGATTCATCGTTTTGTGTTTGGTGTGTAGTACTTGATTCAGCCGGGTAACCTCTCTTCATTAATCTATCCATAACACGTGTTAACTGAGATAGACAGGTTCACAAGTCTTAGGCACCCAGGCGTTGTTAGACGTATCATGGGAGACTTTCTGTACATCTTAGTTTTAGAACCGCTTCACCTTCGGCTTTGTCACCGACTACTTCTTGGTGGTGATGTATGAATTGTGATATTGATACGTCACCTAATGCTCCCTACCGGAATAGTCTTTGAATTCTTCGACCGTCTGACAGGGATAAATGGTATCATTATTTCACGTCTTGAGATGATTTATGGTTGTGAGGTTGGGAACTCAAGATTAAGTTGAGAACTTATTTGAAATCTAAAGAAGGGAAGAGAAAGCATAAACCCCAACAGCGAATCCTCTCAGATTTAACATTGCTCACCGGGCAATAATGCATTAGGGAAGCGAACCATAACTAAGAGATCAAACTATGAGAGTCTCCCTTTCGTTATCATAAACATGACCATCTTGACTTGTGAGAAATTACTTATTTTCCAGGCTTTCACTCTGTATTAGGTCTGACATGTAATATATGATCAGTGGGCTATTGCAATATCAACGAGAAAATTAATGAGTCCAACATGGATATTGTGCGGTAGAAAGGTAGATATGTGAAAATTATGTTTAACACAATTTTACTAATTTATCAATAGGTTTGCATTTATGGCAGTGATAATAAGTAAAACGACACCAATTAAGTTCTGGTATCTACCCCTAGTTTTACCTCTAAGAGAAGTAAGACCAGTGGTTGCAGTAGGTCATTATTCATAACGTAAAATAAAAGAGTTGGAGCTCAATTTTCCCTTTTTCAAACAAATAGACTTTTTGACACTCAGCATAGAATAATTGGAAATATGGTTACTACACAAGGTAAGGAATTAGAAAATACTTAAGATATAATGTTTTGGTGGTACCAAGGTGTTTTTAACCAACTTCAACAATCGAACTCTAGTCGCTACAACGTCGAAAAGTGTATAAATGTTTTATTAACAAGGTGTAAAGGAAAATAAGATTAAACAGTTTTGTACATAATTTGAACTAAATTTAAAGTAAATTGTTATTATAGTAAGGCTTGACGGCTGGATAAGTGTTTAGAAAGGTAGTGATACGGTGAAGTTCCAAATGAAAGAAGAGGAAAATCGTCAAACATAACTTTTTAGAGGTCATATTTATGCAGATATGATAAGGCGAACCTGATAATCCAACGAACTCAAAGAATGTAGTGCAATTTAGATCCTCGGATGTAAACATTAAGTCCTTACGTTTGTCACCGATTGACCGGATATTTTACTTACCTATGACCAACCCTTTCTGCCTAAAAGCACCTTAGGCTTCTATACTTTGACCTTGTTAAAGCTCTTTATAAAGTACAACAGTCATCATGACTATCTGAATTAAAGACATTCGGCATAGCAGGTAAAGTTCACGAGTGGGTTTCACCCCCCCTAAAGGACTGAACCCAAGTAGCAAAAAGTGGGAAAACAATTATCTTACTATCAGGACATTACCAGTGGTATCCTCAGGTATCAGATCGTTATGTATTTTGGTGATCTGTCCAATTGCTTCACACTTAACGAAATCATTTTATTTGCTGAAGACGTTAATGTGGTATATGTACTTCATCCAAGCCTCATCCTGGACATCAGCCATATAGTACAGAAAGGTCTGGATAAAATCTTAAGCTTGTGTAATGTCTGGTTTCTCCCTCTTAATATCAAAAAATCTGAATACTCGTATTTTGGTACATTCAATACAGGTTGCAATTAGATCAGTTAAGTTGCTTGTGCGATTTAATAGTGAAATATTCCGAGGGCCATTCATTCACCGAACAGGCTACGTCTCAAATCTCTAAAGTCCATAGACTTATTGGGCTTATCAGTTGTAATGTCCTTTTAAAGGAATCCCAAATTACTCTTTACAAGGTATTTGTTCGACTCCCCAATTATGTCTAGTTGCATTTTTCAGGGCCTCTCACGCAAGACCTATCATATGAAGATAGATGCGGAGCATGGATACTAGATCCCTTATGGTTAAGACGAATTAAATTTAATCTTACCTTTTCAAAATACTGTATGGTAAAACTACAGGAAATTGAGGTACGTCAAAACTTAACAAAAAACAGTAGTTGTTGCTTCGAACTCAGGTTTTGCATTACAGAACATCAAGCAAATTAAGGTCAACTTTCTTTGTCACAAGCTACGCATGCCTCTAGACTAGGTTAACATTAAAAATCCGGTCAGGTCAAACACAATCAACCATAATTCTGAGCCCATCGACATTTTGTTAATTTACGTCTCCCTAAGGTCACGCGGCATGTCACGAACCAATGATATTGATGCCGGTTTATTATACAAGATACCTCTCTAAAACGTGTTTGTGATGTTGGTTTGGTTTCACTTCCTACCGAGCAATCGCGTTTCAAGCAAAACAATTTGCTAAAGACGAAGCGTGTTCACGACCCTATAAAATAAAAAATGAGCTAAAATAGCTTCGACATAGAAGGGAGATAGCCATTTGTGTATCAAGATACAGTTTTGAGTATTACAATTTGAAACTTCAAACAATCATATAGTTTCAGCTTCTTTTCGATCAACCTCCATTTATGCAGTCCTTTGTCCATCCATACCATATTCACACCTGTTTAATCTAATAGAATTCTCTTGCTTAAAAAGTACCTTAATAATAGAAAATAAGACTAAGTAGTCATACCTTCACTATTTCACCACAAATGACTAGATTACAATATGCATGAACAATGTATGCTTCGCTTCTCTTCCTTTCTTTTCCTTACTCTATTTTTCATCACTCTTAAGATATGCCGCCGATAACGCATATGGAACGGGTGACTTTGTCCCGCACCATCAACAATACCCCGGATATTCCAAAGGGGTATAAGGTCACGGTTTATAGAAGCTCTCACATTCACGTGGATTTACTCCCGACTATCAGTTGCACGTTGCAACGCAACCCCTATAAAGCGCGCCAACTGCTATATTGACGATAAGCACCTTACTAATATTATTTGCATTCATACGTGAGAAGTATTATTCCCCCATACTTTTATCACCAATGTACCTCTTAAAATATCAATTTAAATGAATAACACACCACAGTTTTCAATTTTTATCACGTTTCCATCCTACCACGTATTTTTAAATCCTTACTGATCGCCTTAAACATATCGGATTACCTAGAACTTCTACCTATTAGTTTTTTCCGCAGTAAATACTGGAAGATTTATAACATTTTAGACTTTTCTGTAGTCTGGTATGCCTCGTGTAACATATTTTTATTTGAGAATATTATTATTGTTGTTATTGGATGAAAAGTATTACCAAGTGAAATGTTACAAAATAGTAGAAGTGATCATATGGGAAAGACAATAGAGAAATAATGAAATTCATCACAATTCTAAATAAAATAACCATCAGTAAACCTAGTATAGAGATTGTTGGTCACGTTACAATGCTAAATTTAGTATCCACTATTAGATCAGCACGTGAAAATAGGAAAAATCTTTGTTGGAACTAAGTTGTAGTCAATTAATATAAAAGTATAAATAAAAGAGGATGACAAGAAGTTGTCAACTTATAGTAACCATGTATGTGCAACATCGATGACCCGCGGTACGAAAGCTGATACGGAAGCCGGATACGATCTTTTGAAAAACAGGTGGACGAACACATACACATGAAAATTTTCAATGATTGGACATATTTAAATTGATTTACTAACCGATGATTGCCGAAATATGTTATTTAGGGCATTTAGAACAAGATAAGCACAGTTGGACGTATTGTAGCCGGAATTTGTAATGAGTGCTCAGCCAAGCTTAAAGAAACCCCTGTTTATTATAAATACGAAAAATAATCAAGTGACGTCTTGAGGCTACACCTATTTTGCGAACTTTAAAATAATTCACAATAAGTCGAGTTCTAGTTCTGATTGTTGACTTAAAGCGTATTTATTCAGATGTACTCATCAAGTTGATAAAATCTTGTCAAGCCGCAAGCCCTGGAGACCTTAGAGACGAACAATATGAACAAATGTTTGTTTTGCGGTAAATACTGAATGAAGATCAGAACATTTCCCATATCAACTGTATCTGTATATTATGAATTTCATCTAGTTTTATAAAAATCAATGTCTTATAGTCATGACGAATCAATAATTAGCTTAATAAAAATATGTATATGGTCATTACAAGTATCTTTCTTGTTGCAGTGGGAAGCAGCAATGCATCAATTTGCTCCAGACGATACATTCGTTCATTCTGTTTCGCTAAAATATGTAACAATAATGATATGCTCTCAAACAACAATATGTTACGTGATGCACACGAGTTTGAAGACTATATCGAATTGTCACAAATGATACAGGCTCGAATGCACCAAGTTATCCAATTAGGTTGAAATATTATAAGACAGGTTGGTCATGGAAACAAGGTATACTGTGAATATACACACATCATATGCAAGACTAAAGAAATGGTTAATGAGAATTAATTGGTCCGTGCGAACATTTGCGAAAATCCATGACTATTGTACTAGATCTCAAAATTAACTCTCCATTATAATATTGAACTAGTGAAGGAAATGAGCTCCTGTTTTGATTCTTGTGGTCACTTGATTTTATGTCTCTAAATGTTTCATGGTTCTAAACATACCTTCGAAATCAGTTGGTGTGAGAAAGCATCTAGAAGTTTACGGTTTGCCACTGTCATTAGTAGGTTTTTGTCACATAGCTGAACTTTTCAGTGTAATACGGAAACGCGTTTACTAAGGGTCCGTGTAATTCGGGCGTTGGATCTTATGAAAAAGGATATATTCGGAGCCAGGTATGCTTTAGTTTTCTTGAATTATTTTGATTTTTAGCGACCCGTACTGCAAACTGTGTATATATAAAACCCAGCGTTCAACTCTCCCCTTGTGTTCACCAGTACCAACAAAAACTGTTAAGAGATCTCTGAACCCGATTTGGAACGAAGAATTTATTTTCAGGGTAATTTAAACAGAACTAAATTCGTAAATTTCAGGTTAATCCATCAGAAAACCGTTTGGTTTTTGAGCTTTATGACGAAAATAGAATTGTAAGTTAGTACATTTCATTAGTTACGTCCACAGACGAGGGATGATTTTTTGGGTGTCGTCACTGTATTTCTGCCGTATCTGGAGATTGGCACGGAGGGATCTAATTGTCGGTTGATGGCAAAGAGCTTTCTACTGCGCCCTAGAAGGTATTGTCATTTTTAGATGATCTATTGACGCATGTATGATATTGACGTAGATTTCGATCCCTGAAATTTTTAGGGAACTTTTTGCATCTAATCGTGACACATGTTTTAGATGTGCAGTGGTTTCCCTATTCGGGGGTCGAAAATTAAATGTCGATAATACAGTGTTTTATCGTAGTATTGTCCGGGAAAATTTCGTCCTGGTTTCTAAATGAGGGTTTTACAAAACGAATCTTTATTATTTTGATGTCGATATGTCTTTAAACATTTACTCGGTATATATTTCATCTCGTTCAGGGAGTAATTTTAACTGCATATATGTGTTAACGTCATGTAGATGGTGCTCTCTCCCCACAAGTAATATTTTCAGTCAACCTGGAATGTATTTCCTAGTCTAATCTGATATTTAAAGGGAAGCAAGTTCACTCGTATCTCTAATTGTTTCAGAGTCATATCTGCTTGCTTATACTGATTCGATATCTCAAGTTTCCTAGGAGTTGATGAGTGATATGTAGAATTTTAGTGAACTGACCATTATAGCAAGTATAATTCTTTTTTTCAAAAATAATTTGTTGACATATATCGCTTTCATCTGCATTGTACTATCCCATGTTCCTGAGCCTAATTATAAACCACATAGAAAAAAGAGTACCAATCAGTTTAATCACTGCTCATTAGGTCGTTCACTACTTAGCAGTAGCTAGAAATTATGACTCGTTTTAAGTTCATCATATATTCATAAATTTTAGCAATTGCTATGCTGTAAAATTAAGCAGAAACATTTATAGACTTAAAAGTGCATCAGTATCAAGTTGTTACTTAGACAGACAAACCATATTTTATTTACTTCTCGTAGCGAGTTTTTTTGTACCAATTTGGCTGATTTTAAACTGTTCTGAGAAATCACTTGTTATTATGATACATATAGCCATATTTGATGTATTTGTACAGTAGATTTTCAGTCTTGTCATATGCGGTATTGGAAATAAAGTTGGGCTTAGACTAATTATCATTAGTTCGTTGTTTTTTAAATCTAGTTGCTGTTTCCCTTTTATACTTCCGAATCCATAGGTCATCGTTCATATTTACTTTGGCGTAAAAAAGTACCAGGTTACATTAAAAACTCAGGGATGATCAGTTGTTTTCTAGTGCACAAATTTTAATCGTTGAAGTGGGAATTGTTAATTGTTAACATCAAAAGTTCAGTTCTTCACTTGTGGCTTTAAGGGATAGTTCAATGAACATTAACTTCCTGCAACTTTTTTTCAGAAATTTATCATTTTAAAATAATTGTTAGTTTTTCTCTTCCGCTTAAAATACATCTTGTTTTTTTTCATGGTTCTTAGTTCTCGATCCCGTGTTCGTGGTAATCTCCACTTGTATTTGGCTTACTTACCAAGCCATTTAAATCCCCAGATTACAAGTCTTCGTCAACTTCCTCCCCTTGTTGAATTGGTAAGTCAGATTTAAACAAACTTATTGGTATACAGTAATTTTAGCTTTTCATGAGTTCAGCGGTATTGTTTTTATCACTTGTTGCACTTTATATCGAATTAAATCTGTTTTTTATTTTGATATTATTTTCGTTTGATTGTTGATGTATTTTATTAAATGTGTATATGCCTAGTGATATTAGTACTACTTCTACTGCTCTGTTCTTTGTCTTGATAATTTTATTTCTGTGTTGATGTAGTGCATGGATTTAAATAGATGCACGTGTCAGGTTTTACGTTGCATATAAGTGACTGTTACTAAAAACAAAGTTAGTATTAGTCAGAGTTAGCTATTTTCAGGCATAAAGTATTTAATTTGGTTCACATTTCACCTGTTTTGTACCAAACATTTGAGTTTATTACGTACTAATAATGTAGTTGATAAAATTGTGCATCAGTCTTTATGCAATTATTAAGTCTTAGTTACTAATTTTTTCAAGTAATTTTGTCTAATATTCAGTTAAAGCTTAGGTAGGCTACTGTTATTCTATTTTTAGTACTTTTTGTGTTATCGTTGGTACTTCTATTATTAGAACTCCTTCACTATTCATCTTTTTAACTCCACCTCTGTGTAGTAATATGGTGTGAGATTGTGTGTTGATTTGTGTCTGTACTAAGTCTTACGTTTGTTGTGACTCACTGACCCATGAATATTTAATTCGACTAACTGTCGAGATAATTTCTTTTGTCTGATAGCCTTACGATCGACATTCAGTAGTTCAACGAAATGCAGTTGTGAAAATTTATTTCAATTTCTTGCAGTGTAAGTAGTCATATATTGATCTACAATAAGACAGAAATAAACCTTGGCCAAAGAAAAATTTGATGGTACTAATTCGTCTCTCTATCCAGTTGTTTATGTAACTTCATGTCTTATCGTTTACCAGTAGCCTAGTTATACTTTCTATTTAATTATATTTTTTATGTGACCATTCAACTTGAAGTATTTTCGATTTGTTCCCATCCGGTTAGCTGTGTGCTGCTAAAAAAATAATCAACTCAGCAGGTACTTAGGTATGAACCATATTCTAAGTGTAAGTGCTAATGATACTATTTGGTTGCCGAAAACGAAGTGAAGCAAAGTTGGAACTTTTACTAGCTGAATGCCAAAAACTAACCATTAAGCCACCTCATCAGTAATGTTAGGTGGTTCATAGATAATCGCTTACTACTGAACGAATATCAGAAAATCACGCAAATTTATCGTGTTGTACTAAAATAATACATCCAAACATACGTAAGATGAATATAGTCAAGAGTTATTGTACTAATTAAACACCCTAACAAATCTTTGTTGATATTTTAATTAGTTAGAGCTTTTGATTTAAATTTTGTTTTCATTTCAAGCTGAAGAACGATTTAAAAGTATGAGGTAATAGATAACTGTGTCTTGTTATCTTTGTACCTCTTGGAATTGTAAAACTTCGGATTTATACATAATCAAACTTATGACTTTTTCAAGTATCTTGGAGAAAATATTTTCCATCGAAATCATTTACCAAACAAAGGTTTATACCCTCGATCTTAAGCCATACTGTTGTCTAAACACTAGTGATACTATTTGGCTATTCAAACAGATTTAAATGGCAAGGTGTTCAAAACTGTGACCTATTAATGGCTGAGTTCAAGTGCTTCAGTGGCCTAGCCATCGATCTAGTGAGATAGATCTCAATTGCTTATTTTCCTGATATCATAGAATACTTTCTAATTTTGATGTGAGGAAGTCCATCCACTATTGAGTACTAAACAGCCATTTATCAGATAAACCCTGTGGTTATGTTGTAAATATAATGAGTGTGTTTTCCACTATCACATAGTTTAGAATGCTTTTCTTAGTGTTCACAATAGTTATCGAATTCACTCATTTTTCGTCAGTAATGTAAAATCTTTTACCTAATCTAATAACTGCAAATATTATATTTCAAGGCTGGTATAATGAGTAAGAATTAAGCCTAACGGTTAGGCTTTAGTTCATCGGATAAGTGGTGACCCACAAAGCTTATCTTCAGTCACCTATGTCATCTAATCATGTTATTTTTCTGCTAATAATTTGTATATAAGCATATTACTTCATTATACGAACAATGAGTTCTTCTGACCAGTAGTCTTGTCTTTGATATTCATTCATTCGAGTGTTTGAGTCACTATTACGATCTTGTAACCAGCTATCACTCAACTACATCGTATCATTGTGTTTATCTATCGATCCGCATTCATTTTATCAATTATAAACCTCGTTTTTTTTACCAAAGCCTCCTTCATAATAAATTGTTATTTTGAAGAAAAAAACATCCCCTTTAAAATGACATTTTCATATCCTACTTCTTTTTTAAACTGTTTATAAATTAACTCATTTTTATTTAAAACCCATAATTAAATGTTTACCCAACTTTGTTTATAGTCATCTGAACAACAACGTAATAGTGAAGGTCAATTATCCTCAACACCTGTATCTTCTTCACATCGTCCTAGTTTACCAGCACAATCATCTAGTCCTGGTATTGCTGAATTATCTAACACTATAAACGATGATACTGATAACCGTGTACAACTTAGTAGAAATACTTCAATAGAATCAGATACTGTAAGTGTTACTGAGACTGTTGTTGGACCAATGCTTTCTACGTCACTTGATGAAAATTCACTTCCACCAGGTTGGGATGAACGAGTTGATCAAAATGGACGGACATATTATATGGATCATGTTAACAAGCGTACACAATGGGATAGACCTTCTTTGTAAGCAATCTACTTCTGTTTATTTTTTCCATCTAACTAATTATTAGTTATTTTTGCACTAGTTTGATTTAATTTTAATTTATAAGAATATTAAACATTGAGAAATGAAAAGCTTTCATGTAATGAGCTTGTTTACTAGTTAGAAATTCATGTACGTAACTTGGAGCCGCGCTTTAATTGTAAGAGCCACTGATGCTACCCAGTTACCAGTAGGAGAGTAGGTGGAGCGGAGTTCGAACCTGTAACTGTAAGTCAAAAGTTTTAACCTCTGAATCAACGTTCCAGCCTTCATAGAATTCCTTTTTCTGTAGTTATGTCTTATCGGTTTGGCCTGTTCAGGTGGGAGATATTTAGTCTGCATATTCATACATCGGTACACTTTCTTTATAACACATATTGAGTTCAGTGTCATTTCAGATGTTTTTACTTTAAAACTGCAACAGATACTATTACTATTATCACTTCCTCACATTAACTTGATGTTGAATAACATATTCGTCCCAAACCACTAGGGGTCAACCGATATATATATATATATATATATATATATATATATATATATATATATATATATATATATATATATATTAACTTCAATAAGTTTATCTTGAGTTCGCTGAAGAATTCCCATCATATTAGAACACAGATATATTTTTGCTTACTTATGCCTGTTACCCCCAATGGAGCAAAGGCTGCCGACCAGCATTCTCCAACGAACTCTGTCCTGGGCCTTCCTTTCTAGTTCTGTCCAATTGTTGTTCATTGTTCTCATGTCTGTCTCTAATGTGTTCTTTGGTCTTCCTCTTCTTCTTTGACCTTGAGGATTTCGAGTGATGAGAACTTGCTTTGTGAAAACATATATGAACGAATAATATTTTTAATAAATTCTCTCCAGATTTCACAATTATATATCCAGAGAATTTGTCAGGTTTAAGGCAAAATACATCGTTTAAGTAGTCATCAAATCGTTAATTTTGGGATCATTAATATCAAGTGTTGACTTGGAATAAATTTATATGTCAAGTGAATTTGTGAGATAAATATGGTTAACATGAGGTGAGAGAGATAATAATACAATTACAAATCAGAAATCACGTAATATGTAGAATAAACGTGAATTATGTATGAATAAGTAAATAGAGGTAGATGCTGAATAAATTTCTTATGTGTTATAGTAATAATAATGATATGGTTGAGTAAAATAAGTTTAAGCTATGAAAATGAATATGAATCGAATTATGTCAACAAATCACAAGAGTGATTATTAATTAATTAGGCCAGAAGTTGGTCAAGATTAAAGAAGTAGTTGGACAAGTCAATTGATTTGTGTAGGTTATGATATTTCCCGGGTGCCCAGACCGAAACAGGTCATTTTTTAGGGGGTCACACCCGGAGCCTTTGATATAAAGGTCTAATCCACAAGGCAGTGAAGCGACGTAAGGAGATGCAGTCCCATGGTAGCCAGTAACCAACAATAGGTTCATATGCCATTTGCTTCCTTAGGATCCTGGAGCCCATGTACACCATTGGTTTGGAATGATGGTTTTCCAACTACCCTAGCCGGATCCTCCGTATCTACTAACCAGGCTAAAGCACCGGACATTCGCTTTCCGTCCTCTCAATTTCGTAAACAACACCTCTGACGCGAGAAATTAGTGTATAGGACTTTCGTGGCAGTGGTCGTATGCACGTGGCCACTTGAGAGCATTTGGAGAGGGAGAGCTGACTCTCCCCACTCTCGACCGTACCGAGGGCGTTTGGGGGCAAAATGATGTAACACTGGAAGTCAAGTGTATAAACTATGAATAATGTAGTTTAATGACTAACTGATTAATTGATATTTAACTTTCATTAATTATGTTTTTTCTAAATAATTACTTTGTTTTCACAATTGGTTTTGTATATATATATATTATGTAATATAGTCAATTACCACATGGATGGGAGCAACGAACTGATGCAAATGGTCGTGTTTATTATGTTGATCATCAAAATCATAGAACTACTTGGTATCATCCTTTATCTGAGGTAATCATTTTCATATTATATGTTTATATTCGTGTACAATCAAAATTATTCATTACCATAATTTCATTATTTAATACTTTACTGATTTTCTTCCCTTATATACAAAATGTTGCTTTGGAACTGGTCTCTCTCAACTATTGATAAGTGATGTAGTTAAGCATGTATAACATTTTACTTATCTTAGAAGTTTCATGAGCCTTGGTGAGTTGGTTTCTGATGAAATATCGGCATGAATTCTGAAGGTCCTGTTGGTATTTGCTAATTTGCTTCATGGCAGGACATCCATCTGCCAATTAGAAGACGAGTGTTTTGCAGATATCATATCAGAAACTGGTGAATAACTTGTTGATGTCTGGTGGTTATATTCACATCAGACTTTGTTTGTGTATATATGTGTTAAACCAACTACTAGTTACCCGTTTTCGAGAATAACTTATCGGCTTTAGATGATAGCTATTTGTAAGACTGATTTGTATTTATCAAATATTCATAAACATGTGTACACGTGTGATTTTATTCTGTTTTTTGTTCCCTTCGGATTTTTTTGCTTACTATGTATAAAAGGGATCTCGATCACAAACATCACCTCAACATTCTACTGCTGCTAGTCCTGTTACATTCAACGATGCGATCGAACCATCAAGCGAGGGTAGGTATAGTAATAATAATAACAATAATCGTATCGATCATTATTGTCGCTATTATTTTGATCTTTTTTTAATCGTTAAATATGTTGAAGGGAAAAAGAACGCATGAATTTTGAAGCGATCACGCATAAATTTGTGTTTAAAATCAGTTAGTCAGTCATGTGCAACGTGGCAGCTGACATATGTCCATCGGTTCAAGTTATCAGACCAAATTAGCATAGCAAGGTAAAATTATTTCAAGACGAATTTCAGAGTGTTGATTTTCACCCTGAAACTTGGTTCCAGTACCTTTTTCTTTAAACACCAACGCTTTATTCACTTGACCATTAAATCCAATTAACGTGTTGGGCATTTAAAACGAAAGGCGCTAGGATCGAGTTCCGAACCGAATATTAGCACTCGGTCGCAGGTACATGAAGCCGATGGTTCCGGAACAAGATATACGTGTCCTGGATTTTACCGGCAGCCACTATCCAACTCTCTACAAATCCATAAAGTTTGTTTCTGCTAGCTTGTGTACCAATGTTTTCATGTCGTCAGGTACAACATACTCTACGTGGCATTGTTTTGCAAAGTAGGTTTTCGTATTCGATATAGAAACGACAAACGAATTCTGATTTATATAGTTAATTTATATTTCCAGGTTGAATTTTTTTTAACACATAGATATTGGTACAAGGAGGCACCAAATACATATGCGCCATACAAATCTCATTCAATATGTGTGAGGGCTGTGATACTGCTCGGGTGCCCAAACCGAAACAGGTGGTTTTCTTAGGGGGCCACTCCCCGAGCCTTCGACCTGAAGGTCTGATCCACAAGGCAGTATTTATTTATTTATTTATTTATTTATTTATTTCAACACATAGATAATGGTACAAAGAGGCACCAAATACATATGCGCCACACAAATCTCATTCGATATGTGTGAGGGCTGTGATACTGCCCGGGTGCCCAAACCGAAGCAGGTGGTTTTTTTTAGGGGGCCACTCCCCGAGCCTTCGACCTGAAGGTCTGATCCACAAGGCAGTGGAGCATCGTAAGGAGATGCAGTCCCATGGAAGCCGGTGACCAACAACTGGTTCATACGCCATTTGTTCCCGCAGGATACTGGAGCCCATGTGCACCATTGGTTTGGAATCCGGTTAAAGCGCCGGACATTCGCTTTTCGTCCTCTCATTTTCGTAAACAACACCCCCGCCACGAGAAGGCAGTGAGTAGGACTTCCCTGGCAGAGGCTATATACGCGTGGCCGTGTGAGAGCATTTCGAGAGGGAGAGCGGACTCTCCCCACTCTCGGCTGTACCAGGGCATTTGGGGGCAGTGGAACAACGTAAGGAGATGCAGTCCCATGGTAGCCGGTGACCAACGATTGGTTCATACGCCATTTATTCCCGCAGAATACTGGAGCCCATGTGCACCATGGGTTTGGAATGAGGGTTTTCCAACTTCCCTAGGTGAAATCTTCATGTCCACCAACTCGGTTAAAGAACATGCCATTCGCTTTTCGTCCTGTTAATTTCGTAAACAACACCCGTGGTGCGATAAGGCAGTGAGTAGGACTTCCCTGGCAGAGGCTATATACGTGTGGCCATGTGAGAGAAGTTCAAGAAGGGGAGCAGACTATCCCCACTCTCGGCCGTATCAGGGCATTCAGAGGCTTCCAGGTTGAATAGATGACCGACGGACAACCTTAGATTTAACTTTCTTTCTACATATAGTTTAACACTTGTTAACAATGTGTATCATTTATTCAGTTCTAAACGAGTGAATGAAGTGAGCAATGTACACTGCTTTGTCAAGTACCAAACAAGCAATCAAGTATAGAATCTCCAAATTTTGTTACAGATTCCCACGATGAGAATTTAAATAACTCCAGTGTTTTACTTGGGGAACTAGTTCAAGCTTTTTTCAGGGAAATTATCAAAAAATGTTCTGTTTATTTCCCTGAATAAGAAATATGATCAAAATTCTTCCCATCATGTTTAAAATTAAGAACATTTTCATTTTATATTCCTGTAACATTAATACAAAAGGGAATACTCGATAAACAAAAGCATCAAGATATATGTACATTCTATCCAAAGAAAGATATAATATTATTGAACTGAAATAATAATAATAGTAGTGGATTCTCATCATTTGAGATTGTTAGGACACGTTTTACGTATGATCATGAATTGACTACCTTGATGAGTGATGATGGCTAGTGTAGAATTAGATTGAAAGAAAGCTAGGAGCGACTAATCCAAGACATTGTCCATTAGATTGAATTATGTGAGTAGGTGCAGACGACTTGTTTGGAGTCCGTTTGGTTGTAGTAATCAGTGGTTAGAGACTTTGGTCGAGATTTCTCAAAATCGTTCGCAATGGTACAGGTCTATTCCTTCTTTGTTTTCTTTTAAATCGTAAGTTTATAAATTTCTTATAAATCTTTTTCTATTTATTTCAATAACTTATATTTTCTCGAATTGTATCTTCAATGTCCAATCCTTTCTGTTGCCACTGATATCATTACTATCTCTACTACTCTGTGATTTGGCTTAACAATTAAATCTCTGTGTACTAATAGTGTATAGGGATTTGAACCGATGTACATACTTACCAAGTTCTACGTTGCATCTGACTGACACCATGAAAAAGTATGTTTCATATGAACCCAATGGGTATAATCAAAATGATTATCATCGTATATAGCGTGGTATTGTCTTTTTTTTCTGCAAATTGATCATCGTGTTTATCATTTCCCTCTCATTTTTGCCAATAATTCCGTAGAAGGAGAACTGGGGATAGTTAATGATGAAGGTGATGAGACAGAAAGTAATTTTCACGTTGAATTTGATCCACCGATTTGTCCAACTGATGAAAATCAAGAAAATCAATCACCTGATGAACAATCTGTATTAAATGAAAGAATCACAAATTCTAGGTCTCAATTACCTACTGGCGTTGGCGTCAATGGCAGTGGTGATGGTAGATCCTCACGTTCTAATCCTCGTCATACACGACGTAGTTTAACAATATCCGAGAGATTACGTGCAAAAGGTAGTAGTGGTATTACGTCGTCGGTGGCGGGGGTGGCAGCTCGTTCAAATAATAATGTTCAAAACGGCATCGATGATGTACGTGCTGCGCAGACAATGTATTTACGACGTAGGCAAGTTAGCTTTGAAGATACTCTATCTCATCTTCCAGTCAGTTTGGATACCGTAAGTCATTTATAATTATGACAAAAACGTTCATGGAATTTTCTTAAAGATGTAATTTTTTTTATGCAATGCAAGTTCCGGGGATTCATCCTTGAGAGACGCTTATAGTGAGGCTAAAATTTATGGATAACCTTTAAACGATGCTTAAGTGACCTTGGGGATGCCTACCTACTTACTAGAGTTAAAGGAGGGCTATGAATCAGCGTGTGGAATTAAGATTAGGATTTACATTAGGACGTCAGTGTTAGGATTTTCATCACGAACTGACATAAGCTACAGTGACAAAATGCTATTTAACCATATGAACAAGTGAACAGCTCGCCAAAATCCAAGACCTGCTATCTTAAATCTGATTAGTTTGTCCACAAATTATAGTCTCTCCATTGAACCGGTTTTTAACCCACACTATTTAGTCATACTATATTAAAGATTCTAACACAAAGACCACAATAAAAATGCCCCACACACAATGAAGTAATAGTACACAGTTAAAAAACTAAGAAATAGGATGTTTGCTTCAATAAGTGAAAATATTATTCGTTTCAAGCAATAATAGTCTTCAGTTGTTGGAATTGTTGAGTTTTATTGAGGTCACAAATATTATGAACCTGGAGACACTTAATAGTTGTTTATTTCCTAGTGTGGGACTCCTCAGAAGTGAACATCCACGATCCAAAAACTGTCAGTCGAACCCAAGATGTGCGTTTTCGTGCACGAACACTTAACCACTAGATCACTGAGTCGGCATTCAATAAAACTCAACTATTTGCTGATCCCTATACTAATAATTATCATGTACTCACTAGTGGCTAGCTTCGAAAGCTTCTGGAGTCCTAATGGAAAAAAGCCGTGACTAGTGGAGTTCAACAGTGTCAGGTTTGGTGAAAGATGGTTGCACAATATCATGGATTGATATAAGTTAGACTTGTACACCACTGAATGCCAGCCCAGTGGTTTAGAGATTAAGCGTTCGCACACGAGATCGAACGTCTTGTGTCCGATTACCGGTTGAGTGATCGCGGGTGTGCAGTATTGAGGAGTCTCATATTAGGACAAACCGACTGTCCAGTGCTTCCAGGTTTATAATTCCAATAAAATAATAGTTCACTTAATAATACAACAAAGATAAATTCCTTTCAGTTAATGAAGTTCATTTTACCTTACATAGTATATTATATAGTGGATGGCGAACAGTAGAATACAGGATATTCATCTGGTTTTATTTAAAATCTGTCAAATAATGAGATGTTGTATCACCTATCTCACAGTGTTCATATACCTACTTAGACTTGAAAGCTAATACATATAATACTTCAAACACTACCAGCGCGTTATTTATTAGATTTCTGAGTCATAGTAGTCGCCGCTTCTTAATATTTAAAACTAAATTTGTCTACATTCCTTTCTTTGAAAATCCATCGTTTGGGGATTATTGTTGAAGAAGACTATTCCTATTAAAATGAACATGATCGTTCGTTATTAACAATTACCGTAAGATAAAACGAATTAGATTACAAGATATACAACGGTCTTTTTACTTCTATTTATTTATTTAATATACATAAGTAATCAAGTACAACTGGGCACCAAAATAAATGCGTACCACACAAATAAAAAATATGATTGTGAACAGATGGAGATAGAAGTATAATAAAGAAAAACAGATCGATGAATAAAATCAAGTAAACGAGATTAATATGTAATTGAAGTAGTTCAGTAGAGTGAGTTCCTTTTCATGTTTATGTAGAATGTAAATGAAAGCTACACCACGATCGCCTTTGGCTTCTGTTCTGACCCATGTCTGATAACGGCTTAAACCATCAAGTTTCACTATCTCTAGGATCCCAACCAGGGAGTCACGATGAAATGACAAATGCCAGTCCTACATAGCTTTCTTTCATACCACGGTGCCATGTCATAAACTGACCACTTCTCCGTTTTTCTCATCCCTCCTCCCAAGATCGACAATCAATCCAAGATATGGCATTCGCTGAGATGATATTCATCTTTGTAAAGAGACTCACTTATTATTCCTGTCTTTCTCGTAGGGGGTTGTCAATCGCAGTTAAAATGTAAAATTTCTATTTTATTCATTCTATGAATAAGATACAAAATAATGACAAGTGTATTTATTCATTTGTTTCCAATTTAAACACTGCATATTATATAAATTCTGACCGACAATTTATAACACCATGTGTACAGAGTGATCATTTTGCTAAATATGTACATACTCCCTTACATACACACAACAGATCAATCACATGATCGTAAACCCATTGTATAATTCGTATCTCGTTCTTCCAATATTGATCGAAATCAATCGATTGCGAGGTCATCGAGCTAAATGATACGAATTCATTGTGATCGGATTTAAACATTCAACTTATGTGTGTATACGAGAACACTAACTGTTAAAGATAATTGTACCATGTTCGTAGCTTCTGGTAATTCAGTAATTGACTGATATTAAATTACGACGTTCTACGGGCTTATTTACTTGGCTATGATACACACATTTGGTCAAATGGAAGCCGGTAGGGTAGGGGCAGTGTTGGAACCGCTAAGGCCTGATGAACGAAAGCTGAATGCCCAAACCACTGAGCGAACTACCGTTCTACAATACATGTTCATGTAACAGGCTTCAAATTATTTGTTTTGTAATGAGAACTAAGTAAGTACCCAACTGCTTATATACATTAAATTAGGTTAGGTGAGTTGAAAAATTGACAACTGTGTAAACTACAAACATTTATCAGTAACCATACATATATTCTCCCATCCGACTACAAATATCGAAGTAGATGGGAAGGATTTTGAATTTGCAACTACTTGTCAGGATTGGAAGTTGGTTACGTTAGCTATCAAAAGTCAGTGTCATAGATCCTCCTAATTAGAAGCTTAAGATTTGTACTACTTTACTATTTTTACTAATCAATATCACTTGTAGTTTAGCAGTTCTCAACACTGATCAAATTTGATTGGTCGAATTTTTCGATGTAATAGATACGTTTCAATTTACGAAGCCGGTTGTTTCCTTTTGCACATATTTCTCTACTTCTGTGACTCAGTAATCGATTTATTAAATCTCATATTCTCTATACATCCATTTTCATACTGCTACGGTTCATAGGATTCTTCTATCAAATAGTCTTGATTATCCTACACTTTTTCTTATTCCGACCTCTTTTTAGGTGAAGAATGGAACCAATTTTTTTTAGCGATTCACCTAATCCACTTAATTTATCCGTATTACTTAAATAAATCTGTCGGTGAAGAAAAACTTTTTTTTTCTATAAACTTCACCCAGATTCACAATCTCTGCGATGTGTGGGCTGCATATCTCAATGGTCACATCTGAGATTGGATTGCTAGGTGTGATACAGGTGCATTAGTTCTTTCAAGATTCTAAGTGTACTTGATTGATGAGTACGAAGTAGTGCGAAACCTCTGTTCTAGAATTTCTTACTGACAAACCCAACTATCTACTATTTGTGCATCTAAGCAACTGAAGTGATATTTATTTAAATATGAAATTCACTTTTCATATGAAAAGAAAGTTCACACTTTGTCCTATCCAAATAGATGTTTATTTAATTGAAACAGTTTTCTTTGTTTACCAAAAACAATAAAGGTGTGACAGTAAACGCAACAAAAAAGAAATGGATTTTTCTCCTTCTTTTTTCTCGCCTATTTCTTTTTTTATGATCTTATTCACAGACGTCTATGAAATTGTTCTCTTATCTAGTAAAGTTCCTTCAATGTTCTTTATTCATGTTTAATCCTTTTCATTGGTGAACTTCAATAGTAATTTTTAGGGTTATTCACTTATATTTCTACAAATAATTGGTAGATTAAAATAACGTAATATAAGATAGTTCATAATCAATCGCTTAGTAATGGGTTAGAGGGTCTAACTTTCAGTTACAAAATCTTTGGTTAGAACCTCTTGCTCTATCTACTTCAATCTAGGTGATCGGTTAGTATTATTAGCCTTCAAACACTTAGAGTGTGGTTCATACCCAAGTACCTGGTGAATAAGTTAATTACAAATTATAAATTCTATTATGTGATAGGAAGAATATACGAGATTATTGAAATACTTCATTGTTATATGATCGATGGAATAGGGCTAGCCGTGGGAATCAGGATGCACTTTTTTTTCTTGCTCGGGAATCATCAGCAAATGCGTATCCTGGATTCCACCGCTAGCTACACTTCATCTATTCTATATCGGTTTGTGTTATATTGGATATATCGAGGCAATCTACACATGATCTATCTATTTACTTAAAATGAGGTTTGATAATTTTTTTTTATTAAACTAAGTACTCTTGAGTCAATGATTGTTGTATATATTTTAATGGTATTTTGTTGTCTGAACTTTCATTAACGTTCTGGAAATCAAGTCCTCAGTCATCGGAAACACCCAATTAAGATGGAAATCTTTATCAATTCCAAATTATTGTATATATTCTACCAATAGGAATAGTTTGCAAGTTAAATATCGATATGCCAATCATAGTCAATTATAATCAACAAATGTCCACTAGACCTAGTTTCCATTATCATTATTATTAACACGATGAGTTGAAATTAACAAAATGGATAAATTATACTAATGATAGAGACTATATCCTTATATACAATCTTTCTTTTATATATTACCACCACTGAATTAACTACTTTTATGAATCTGGTGTTCATCTTGTTGTGTTAATGAGGTATGGCAACTTGGACCAATGCACATATGTGCCTGGTCTAACGTTGTAGCTGACTGACTGAACAGTGAAAATACGGCTCGAAAAGATGAAATCAAGACAAGGTTATAAAATTATGCTTGGAATTAATATTTAGAGGAAGTTAGAGAATGATGAATTTATCATTATCATTGTGGCCGATTCTGACCTGTATTATCTAACATCTCCAATTATTGGTTACAAGAGTTGATTAAATCCCAACTAGGTAGTCTACCCACCAATATGAATCAATCCAACAGTCAATAACGTCATGGACTAATCACACCTCTTGATCTGGCGGTTGTTATCTTTCTACAAACCTACTTCTACTCCAATAAATATCACCTATCAAGGTAGTCGGTGGTTAAGTAATATGTCCTAAGTACTTTATTCGATAGAGATTTACAAACAAATCAATCAGTTTGCCATCGATACATGAATAGTTTTAAATATATATAGAGTCTAAAGTTAGGAATTTATATATATATATATATATATATATATATATATTGGTCCACCAGGGTATTTGGTACCTGTGTGGTTGCGCCACAGGATTGAGCTGTACTATTTAGATTGTAGCGTTAAAGCCTATACGGTGTCTAGTTCTCCTGTGAAACAGGATTGAGGTGTACTGGTTGGTTTATGAAATTTAAGCCTGGACAGTGTCTGGCTCTCCTGTTAAGCGGGATTGAGTTGTACTGTTTGAGTTGTCACGTGAAAGTCTGGATGGTGTCTGATTCTCCTGAAAACCAATGTAAAATTATCCTGGCCCACAAGAGTATATTATATATATATATGTAACTTGATTAGTCTCCGGTGTGTTACAATCTGTTATGTTACATATACAAAAAATAGAGTATATACACAAATTATCACATGTTCACTGTTTATATTATTATTCTTATTACTAAGAGGAGAAATTTCGATTTTTTTCTTCTTTCTTCTATGTTCATGCAAGTTTATAGTGTTTGTATGTGTGTGGGTGGGTGTGAATGTGTATACACCCAGGCATATTTTTTTTCAAAAAAAATCCTTCTTTCCTTAGTATCCAACATAATTTATCAGTCTGATAAAAGTGTATATTTATTATATAAAGGTAATTGCATATTATTACATCATATTTTTTCTTTTACAGACTGTTATTATTACTTTTGTGTGTCTGTTTTTTTTTGTTGTTGTTGCATATTTAACTGAGGATGATTTCAATACTGATTAGTTATATAATAGAAGAGACAATATACAACTTTGTATCATATCTCTTATTCAACAGTATATATATATATATAATTACTTACTTTACTTACGCCTGTTACTCTTAATGAAGCATAGGCTGCCGACCAGCATTCTCCTCCAACCCACTCTATCCTGAGCCTTCTTTTCTAGTTCTATCCAATTGTTGTTTATTTTACTCATGTCTATCTCCATTTCCCGGCGTATTGTGTTCTTTGGTCTTCCTCTTCTCTTTTGGCCTTGAGGATTCCATGTGAGGGCTTGTCTTGTGACGCAGTTGGGTGCTTTCCTCAATGTGTGTCCTATCCATTTCCAACGCTTCTTCCTAATTTCTTTCACCGCTGGAATCTGGTTTGTTCTTTCCCACAGTAGATTGTTGCTAATAGTGTCTGACCATATATATAATGCTTATAATCAATTAAGTTTATCATAAGAAAAAGAAAATCAATTTTTATTACCTTTTGAACTTATTACTTATTCTTCAAACGTTTATCTATAAATATTTTATCATTCTAATAGTCCTTAAGTTTTTTTGCTCAGTTGTTAAACAATTCAGTTTTTTATTTAATTGGTATGTATTTAGTTTTTATGAACATCTAAATATTGGTACAAATAAGCATCGAATCACATATGTGCTACACAAGTCACATGATTTGTGTGTAGGTTATGATACTACCCAGGTGCCTGAACCGAAGCAGGTGGTTTTCTTAGGAGGCCACACCTTGAACCTTCGACGAAAAAGTCTAATTCACAAGACAGTGGAGCAATGTCAGGAGATACAATCCCATGGTAACCGGTGACCAACAGTAGGTTCATACTTCATTTATTCCTTCAGGATCCTGTAGCCTATGTGCACCATTGATTTGGAATGAGGATTTTCCAACTCCCCTAGGTGGACTCCATATCCACCAACCCGGTTAAAGCAACGAACATTCGCTTTTCGTCCTTTCCATTCCTTAAGCAACAGCCCCTTTGCGAGAAATCAATGAGTAGGATTTCCCTGTCAGTGGCTGTATATATGTGGCCATGTGAGAGCATTTGTAGAGGGAGAGCTAACTCTTCCCACCCTCAGCTGTACCAGGGCATTTGAGAGTGTGTGTGTGTGTTGGTGATCAGTTGTTCCAACGTTTCTCCACATACCTTTGGTTAATTTAGTCAGTTACAAAGTAAATCTTGTATGTATGTACATCGGTTGAAGCTGCGATACCTCATTAACACAAAGAGTAATAAAGGTAGTAACAGTATCAGTGGTGGTAGAGAAGATCAAGCATTCAAGGTACTATTAAAAAATATAAATTAGTGAAATAAAAACAGAAACTAGTTATGAGAAATTGAGAAGCTCAGAATTTGGGGAATTCAAAGAACGGATGCATCTGCACCATTGAGAATGATTTTGAACAATGTCTTTCAAAATCTCTAACCTATGGTTATGATAATCATGCGGATCCCAACCGGGTGATAATCTATGTCTATTAACATGGCGTAATCCGATTGTTGATGACTTTATGGACTGATGCCATGTCTTGGTTTGGCCGCCCATAGCTTTCTTCTAGCCTACTCCTGCACCAGACAACATCGCTCATCGAGGTAGGGGGTGGATAGAGATACGTAACACGCGTTTCAAGCGCCTCGGTTGTCGGAGACTTACTACCTCATAAATAGATTTGTCATTCTTACCTTGTAGCGTATTCCTAATTCTGTCATTTCTTACTCTGTAGTCCCAAAATACACTAGCAATGCTTAAAAAACACGTGTGATCGAATGCCAGTAACCTACGAATGTGTTGTTCTTACTAACCATGTTTCATGCCCATAAAGTAGAACGGTGCAAACCGTACGCAATAAACTTTCCCTTGTATCGGAAGACGGATAACGTGCCCACTCCACAAGTGAAGTAAGTTGTCTAGTGTCAATCGAGCCTTCTTAGTCCTTGCCGTTATTTCGTTAGAAACCAGATTATCAGTAATGACAAGAATCCAAAAACGAGTAAAGCGTTTGATGCGTCCAACTACTTCACTCGTTATCATTAATTCACGCAATGACACAAGCCAATTCTGAAGTAACATTTCGCATTCAGAGGAAATTAACTTTACTACCTATCTCTTTTTATATATTGTTTTTGTTAAACCTCGACGAAAACGGTTATGGTTATTGGGTTTTCGACTGATGTACGGTAAGTCCTATTTACGAACTATTGAGCATTCTCCATCTGGGAACTTTAAAAGACTGGATATTTGTCAGACATAAATACTTCAACTTTAGTAATTCACACGCTAATATGATATAGAGAAGACTGTGGTTTCAGGATTACTTTGAATTGCGTACAGAAGTTAAAAAAGCTGGAAAGGAACAACTCAGTTTTTTATATTAGTATACAATGACCTTAAAGCAATCAAGTAACTGTGAATGTTCTTGCGAAAATATGAATTAGGAGAATGTCATCATCCTAAACTGATACATAGTAGCAAAAAGCTAGATAACTTGATCTCTTCTTAGCACAAAATCGTTTCTTAAACGAAAAGGATAAAACTGAAGTATACTGCTAAACAATCTAGAGACCTTACCCTATTAAGCCGATCATGAGATATATGATACTTAGACTAGGCACTTTGAAAATGCCTTTTACAAACCTGGCATCATAGCTGATGTTATTTCATAGTGAAAATTTTAATTCGATAACCTGATTCCTATTTCCAACACCTCTTTTTTGCCAATTGTACCATGACCTTGAAGTGGTGTACACCTCCATCATTGACTCGGCGGTATATTATGGCCCCATATATTTTGCTTTGTATCATATATATCACTTCTATATGTATATATGTTAATAAAAACTCTACCCTTTTTATTTCTTTTCCCTCTTCATAAAATAATGTTCCTATTTGAATGTTGAATATATCTTCAGCCTCTGCCACATGGTAAGTAATAGAATTTTACTGTTGTTTAATGATTATTAAATGTATAGTATCTTGGATTTTATAGTGTTTCTCTGTTCATTTAATGGGTAAGAGTTTTATTGTCTCCTGTGAACACGTCAGTACAGTCTATTTCAACATGTCAGAGGATAAAATCGAATGAAATTGAATTTAGAACTTGGAATGAAATCCTCAATGAAAATTACACTTGTACAGTACAGTACTCATTCAATAAATAAACGAGAAAATGCCAGAAAATCTTTGATACTCGATGTATCTTGAATATTGACAAATGTGGATACATAATCTTTTTGTTGTTGTTTCTTATCACACCATGTTGTTTTCGACATTATTTGTTTTAAACAACCATCGAATGCATTTGTCTTTGTGTGTGTATGTTTATGTTCGGATGTGAAAGTTATTCATCATTTAAAAAAGAGCACAAGTCTATGAAGTCACTGACAAGTGGACTGAGTCATGTTGTTAGGTGTAAACTACCTGGTTGGGGACCGCGAGATGTTAGCAACCGATGGTTAGAGACCCTGAATGACATGGCTCAAAATCGTTTGCAATGGTGCAGGTGCATACACTCTTTGTGTTCTCCCAAATTTTGATATCCTTATTCCTCGTCTTTTTTTTCTCTTCCCAAATTTATTTCACTGTACTATACTCTTTAAATAACATCTCCAACCCCTAATTTTCCTGATTAATGCTTATACTCTTATTACCTCTACCACTACGGGACTTGAATCAACCACTGCATGTGTGTGCTAATGTGGTGTGGCAACTCGAACTGATGTACGTACGTATGAAGTTCTACGTTGTTACTGACTGACTGGCTGACTGAAAAAAGAGTACATACCTATTTTTATCAAATTTATCTATTTGAAGTTTGTATTGATGATGTCGTTCAGAAGAACGACCAAAACTCCACGACCGAAACTATCCAGCTCAGAGAGCAAAACTCTATCATAGTGTATTTATGCTTAAGAGTCATATGTTCTTCTTATACATATATACTTATTCTGTTTTGAGTTCTAATATTCCTTTATACATATCACTTCATTTAACCTTATCGAACCGTATTCTTAGCGCTTAGCCTTTCTCATTGTTATTGTTAATGCATTATTTGGACTTTTTAGTTATTCATCTTTTTCATTTCATCTCGTCGTTCTAATGTGTTATGGCAACTGATGGCTAATGCACATATGTTTCTAGCGGTTTCTACGTTGATTATGACTGACTAATTGACTAACTTTTCAAGCCTGTGTACTATTCCAGTAAGGAATAGTAACTAGTTTTATATATTTATTTTTAACTTAATCGGTCGTCATACTCACTTACTACTCACACCTGTTACCCCTCATGGAGGAGCATAGGCCGCCCACTAGCATCCTCCATCCAACTCTGTCCTGGGTAATCTTTTCCGGTTGTTTCCAGTTACTATTCATCCTTTTGGTATCTGCTTCCTATTCCCAACGCAGTTTGTTCTTTGATCTTCCTCTCTTCCTTCTCCCTTCAGAATTCCACGTTAGCACTTGCTTCATGATACAGTTTGATGATTTCCTCAATATGTCCCATTCACTCCCATTGTCTTTTCTTAATTTCCTCTTCGACTAGAATCGGGTTTGTTCTCTCCCACAGTAGGCTGTTGCTGATCGTAACCGGTCAACGGATATTGAGTATCTTGTGTAGACAATTTTTTATAAATACTTATACCTTTTTGATGATGGTTGTAGTAGTTCTCTAAGTCTTCCTTTATTCTACATTCAACCTAATTCTGGCTTATGATATGCGTAATATATAAGAACATATATAATAAATATAAGTGTATAGCTTGTATGAATAAGTCATCGAATCAAGTAAATTCAGTTGCATCATGAATTAACTAATGAGCTGAATAAACAAAAATAATGAGGCATTTTTTTGGGGGGGGGGTAAATTATTTTCATCCTATTGTGTTGGTATCAGTGATTACTGTACATATACTTTCAAATTATTCTGTAAATCTTGTTGAGTTATCTATAGCAATTGTTTGTATGACTTACAACTTACTGTTATTAGCTTGGAAATTGAGAAGAATGGAATTATTGAGTAAGTCTGTCAATGCATCTATAAATACATACATATGTTTCTATTTACCAATAGTAAAGTTACCTTATTTCGCTTTGTTTTATTCCTCTCATTTTTCTTTCCTCTCTTTTACTAGTTTTTTGGGTCGTCATTTATGTATATTAATTTTAGTAGTTCAGATTATGAGTCAATTGAAGCTAGACCACCATGGAAAACCTGAAAGCACTCGACGGTCGTTTAGTCCTATTGTGGTATTCCTCAGAAGTGCGCATCCACGAACCCGCCCCCCCCACGAGATTCGAACCCAAGACTTATCAGTCTCGTGCGAGAGCGCTTAACCACTAGAAAACTGAGCCGGCACCAAACGGTGTTAATGTCTAACTTCAACTAATCCACGAAATTGAGCGACACATCCACCCTTGTCATCAGTGAGCTACTATCTCACAACAGACCCGGTTGACCTCCACTAGTCACTGCTTCTCAGTAGAACTCCAGTATATACCTCTTGAAGCCAGTCACTAGTGAGCTTCAATTGACCTATCATCTAAACTATTAAAATTACTATAATATCCACAAAACAGCTTCTGATATTTATATATCTCTGCCTCTCTCTTTAATTACTCTAAGCAAGATGTTTGCTATTGTAGGAATTGGCTAGAAAATAAACTAGGAATCACCAAACTAAGTTATGAAATCCATTCATGAAGTCATTGTATAAACAGATGTAGACTATTTGAATGGAGTCCGTAAGATTATCATGGACATTAGTTGAAGATATTATCTAGAATGACTTATAATTGGTCGCAATTGGACGGATGTATTCAGTCTCTATCTTAAGCTACGTATACTTTTTGCTCTTTAAATTCGTTTTTTGTCTTCTTGAATCATATTGTTTATGTTTAATCTTTTCTACCATCTTTATTAATGTTGTTATCGCTATCTTCCATAGAATAAAACAAATAATTCCATTTCACCCGTCTTGTTATTTGTTTACACCATAAGAAATTCAACTCAATGGTCTAAAAATTAAACAAAATGCTAAAGGTATATCCAGGAGTTCTAGTGGGAAGCAGTGACCAGTGGAGATCAACCGGGTCTGTTGTGAGATAGTAGCTCACTAATGACAAGGGTGAATGTGTCGCTCAATTTCGTGGATTAATTGAAGTTAGACGTTAACACCATTTGATGTCGGCACAATGGTCTAGATGTTAAGCGCTCTCGCGCGAGACCGATAGGTCCTGGGTTCGAATCTTACGAGGCGGGTTCGTGGATGCTCACTGCTGAGGAATCCCACAATAGGACTAAACGGTTGTCCAGTTCTTTTAGATTTTTGATAGTGATCTAGCTTCAATTGACTCATAATCTCAACCATTTAAAAAATTACTATAATATCCACTAAACGTCTTCTCATACTATAATGCTATTCAACAATCATATCGATTTTTTGCTATCATCTAATCTAATCACTACATGGTAGGATAAATGTTTATTGAGGATAATATATACAATATATATTAAGCAGTATGATGAATTTAATCATTATTGTAACTTAATCGATAGAATTTGATCTGTAACACGAACCGACTAGATAAACATAATATCAGTCACTAATATATTCATCCAATGATTTTGTACATCATCATGAATTATTATCCACATGTTCAATGTCAACATGCTCATTAGACTTAAGTAAATGATGAAATCTATCTTATTGGAAAGAAATGTGAATGAAATATGAAATAAACATTGATTTCTATAGAGACAAATTGTAAAAACAAAACAACAACAACAACAACACGTCGTGTTGATAATGATTTAGCGCATGATAAATTAGTTCTGTGTTTTTTTTTTGTTTCTCGCTTACTTAAAACTTATTTCATCATTTATTAATGATGATTGATAATATGGTTTACCAACTAGGGATTTTTAACCAATTAACCACAGTCTAGCTTTTCCAAAAATGTTGACTGTTAACTTTAGAGGATGTGTAACAAATAGAGATTGATCGATTGATTTCATTGCCTAAAATCGATAATAACATTGACGTTTTTGGATTTTCTGAATCACAATGTTTACTGAACTATAGTTCAGGAATAGAGGGTTATTATTTTGACTTGTGATTCATATTCAATTCACTTCCTTATTCATTAGTTTAATACATCATAATATTTATGCGATATCCAAAAATCTTCGTTTTATTGTTTCTATGTTGAATAACTTACGTCACCTATGGCGAAGGCGAGATATCCATATATGAATTAAGGGACGAGTATCATGCTTAGCAGTTCGTTCTGTTCTACCTTACAACTACGAGACGTGGCCATTAAGAGTAGAAGATACTCGTAAGCTACTAGTATTTGACCACAGGTGCTTTAGAAATATTGCCCACATCTGCTGGAATCACCGGGTAATTAATAGTGAGGTTAGACTTAGGGTATTACGGATTGATGGTAAATCAGTTGATGAGGTTGTTATTCTTCATCAACTGAGATGGTTGGGCCACGTGTTACGTATGCCTGAACACCGATTACTACAACGTGCAATACTAACCGGCGTTAGAGATAGTTGGAAGAAAGTTAGGGTTGACCAAACCAAAACGTGGCATCAGTCCATAAAGTCATTTACTCCTTGTCTTAGATATTTTGGTAGATACAGATTAATTGGTTTGAGGTCTGAGCGACTATCGTAACCAATGGTTGGAGACTGAGTGACATGTTTCAGGATTGATCCCAATGGCGTAGGTGTATACACTCTTTGTCTTCCCTTAAACTTAGAGATTAAAATCACTTCATATCATTCTTTCTACGAACTACTTCTTTTTCCCTGTATTCTATCCTTATACATAATCTTTTATATATTACTACCATTGAAGTAACTACTTCTATGAATTTGGTGGTCATTTTGTTGTACTAATGAAGTGTGGAAACTTGAACCGAGGCCTATATTTGTCTGATCCTACATTGAAGCTAACTGACTTATATAGTTTTGTGTTGATATTTGTTATTATCCAGTTATTAGATGATAGAAGGCTCATTTGTTCTATATCATTCAGAGCTATTATTTTGAGCATAATTTATCAATACCATTTAATTATTAATTAACATTCAGGGTTAATTTTATATCTATGTGTGTGTAACCCTTGTCAGTCAAAAATAATACACTACTAAACACAAATACACATTAATTCAAGTTTTTATTATTGCATTTAGAACAGTGTTGTGTTTAATATCGTAACTTTTCTAGTTCTTCAGTACTTCTCGAATTCTGTCAGTCAAGTTACAGTGTGGTCATTAATTTGAATGACTCAGCCTTGTCCTACAATATATCGAGACGTTTGCTGATCGAACATAGTTGATGGAAATCTCTACTGAACCTAGGTTTTATGCTTTTCAATAGATGAATTTTAAAAAAAAAACAACTCGAGAGAATCGAAGTGACATCAGTGATAATTGAAATGAAATTAAACTTACAAAATATGCAAAGATGGATAGTGGCTAGTAGTGGAATTGTCCTATTTGGGACTCCTCAGCTGGATGTACTTGCATCACAAAGTGTATGTTCACTCTGGGACTCGAACCCAGTACCGTTCGCTACTAGTAAAACATCACCAAGTGAATACAAAGTAAGGTTTGGAAAGTAAGAATTAAGTATCCAAGGATAAAAACTATGAAATAACGTTGAGTAAAAATGGTTTGACATGTGCTACATTGAAAGCCATTTCACTAGTTTAGAGTTGAAACGTCCACGTACAAGATTGAAGGTCATTGGTTTGATTTTAGGATGCGAGATCGTGGATATTCACTGGTATTGAGAAGTCTGAAGCTAGAACCAATCGGCTGTCCTTAACGTTCATGTTCTTAATGGTGGTTTAGCTAAGATCAGTTCATGACAAAAATAATAAAAATTTTACAATCTTCACAAATCCATTTATACTAATAATAACAATACACTTACGCACCGTGTCACCTAACGGTCTCATAACCATTTACATCGATTCTTACGCGAACCTTTGTTTGTTTCTATCGATACGATCTATATTTCAACAATCAATGACTTCACCAATTAATGTCATGTCTTAATTTGTTTGCTCGATTTCACATCTTTACTTTATTATCAGAATCTATTCTTACTCATGTTCAAAAAAGGACGGTTCACTATGTGTATTATATTATCGATTCTAATATGATCTTCAAATCCTAATGTTTCCGATTACTGCTTATACTCTTACTGCCTCTACCACTACGGGATTTGAATCGATAACTGCATCTCTGTGCTAATGTGATATGGCAACTCGAACTGATGTACGTAAATACGAAGTTCAACCTTGTCACTGACTGAATGAACTGACTATTATCTATTCTACTCACTATTCTGTATTTTAGAATAACCACCTTGAAAGAGAAAACAATTACTTATTTGCTTACGCCTGTTATCCACAATAGAGCAGAGGTTGCTGACCAGCATTCTCCAACTCACTTTGTCTTGGGTCTTCCTTTCTAGTTCTATTCAATTGTTGTTCATTCTTCTCATATCTGTCTACATTTCTCAGCGTAATATGTTCTTTCGTCTTCCACTTTTCCTTCAGTCTTGACAATTCCAATTGAGGACTTGCCTTGTGACGTAGTTGGAAGCTTTCTTCAATGTGTATCCTATTCACTTCCAGCGCTTCTTCCTGATTAATATTCTTTTATTATTCAATTAAGCTATAAACCAGATTTAATTTACCTGGGTTGCTTTATAAACTATTGAGAACTTTGATGTTATTGCTTTAATAGGAGTACAAGATTATATTTTATAATATCGTATGTTGATTGTTGTTGAATGTTTGGGAGTGTATATACATGTACAGTAAGAAAACGTATTCCGTTTATGAAGTGTTGAATGATAGAATTAGTTTGTTTATTTAACGAACGACTTGTTTGTTTGTTTGTTTTTAGCTGCTTGTTAATATTAGTATTATGTAATTTAGTAATACAAATTTGTACAAGATTATATCAGCTATATATTTTGTTTATTTGAATACTTAATTACACTGACTTCCTAACTGCTTCCTAATCCCCTAGAACTAGTCACTTTTCTTTCTTTTGAACTTCGTAGAAAAAAAAGCAAAAAGGTAATAAGTGTCTGTCCCAAAATGCCTTGGTACCATCGACAGTGGAGAAAGTCAGATCTCTCTCTCTTTCTCTAAATGCTCTCACATGACCACTGCAGGGGAAGTCCTACTCATTGCCTTCTCTCGGCATTACTTTTGTTTACAGAATCGAAGGGACGAAAAGCGAATATCCGATGTTTTAACCGGGTTGGTGGATATACAGGATACATCTAGGGCAGTTGGAGAACCCTCATTCCAAACTAATGGTGTACATGGGCTACAGGTTCCTGAAGGAACAAATGGTGTGTGAACCAATCGTTAGTCACAGGCTGCCATGGAACTGCATCTGACGTTGCTCCACTGTTTTGTGGATTAGACCTTTACGTTGAAGGCTCTGGGTGTGGTCCCCCAAGAAAATGACCTGCTTCGGTTTGGGCACCCAGGCAGTATCACAGCTCTCACACAAATCGAATGATTTATGTGGCGCATATCTATTTGGTGCCTTCTTGTACCTATGTTCATATATTTTAATAAAGTGTTGAGAAAGATTTTTATTTGAAGGTTAAAGCATTTATATGATGTTCCCGATGGCTTTAATACTTTGGAAGCTTCTGGAAAACATATCCGATGATTATTCAATCAGGACAATTAAAGTATAATCTATCGTTTTCTGCAATTCTTCAGAGATTTTTCCCATAAAACGTTTATTATTCAAATCGGTTTTAGTATTTTTCTAACTTCTAATTACTTTCCGAAGGAATTATCCTAAAACTCCTAAAACCAATAAATAGTCAATAATTATTCATTCTCACAGTCGAATTCATGGGTCGATCCAAGCTAGACTACTATTTAAAATCTGGAAGCACTGAACGGTCATGGGACTCAGTAGTGCGTATCCACGATCCCGCACGCGGGACGAAACGGCTGTCCTGTGGGTTCAGGTTTTTACTGGGGGTCTAGCTTAGATCAACTTGTGAATTCTAATACTGATAATTATTCATTCATGTATTACAATTCAAAATTTATCTTACGTCATGTTAGTACATTTTCTTCGTACACATTTTTTTCTTCCTTATTAGATTCAAATTGTCAATTAATTCCACCAAGTTCATCAAATTCTGACACAAATACCATTCAATTAACAGATCCGTCTAGTTCAGCAATAACAATAACAAATCCGACCTCACGAATAGAATCTTCACCTAATGAACAAGGTGTAGATCATGTAGATAAAAATCGTCGAATTGGTGAAATTGTTTTAGGCTTAGATATTGCTCCAGGTGAAGAACCACTTCCAGAAGGTTGGGAATTAGCTAGAACTGCAAGTGGTCGAAAATTTTTCATTAATCATAATGAACATACTACCACTTGGGTAAGTTATTATTTCACTTGTAATAATTGTTACTTTAATTAATAATTACTAGGATTAGTTATATGTAATACAACTTCTATACTAATATTATAGTAATCTAAAAAAGGAATCACCGTAGGCAATACTATTTGCATATGAGATGTTACGTTTATCTATCTACTGTGTTTAGTGTCTTCAGTTAAATAAATTGGCGAGACTATAATTTATGGACGAACCAATCATATATAAGATAACAGATCTTGGATTTTGGCGCAAAATTCATTCATCCATTTGGCTAAATAAAGGTTTGGCATTATAGCTGATGTCAGTTCGTGATGAAAGCCTGAAATCTAATTTTTAACCTTAATCATCAACTGTAAATCATAATTCGAATTCTTCACACTGGTTTATAACCTTCATTTGGTCCTAGTTATTAGGTGGTCAGTCTAGCGTCGCTCAAAGGTCGTCCATAAATTATAGTCTCATCAGCAAATTAATCTAATAAGAAAATAGCATATATCAGTAGTGCACTAAACTGTGTGCAATACTTTGAACGTATATTCTTTTGTCTCTTTTTTTTGGTGTTTCATCCATTCATCCTTCATTCATGATTATATATTTGGAGGGTAATTATGTTTGATTCATTAATTGTTGGTTAATGTATGTGAGCTATACACAATCAGATAAAGTTGTCAATGTTAGTGAAACAAGAATGATTTTGGATTAGTTTTAGGTTTTGAAAAGAAAGAATGACTTCATAGAATAAGAAGGGTATAAAATAATATCAGGACTCAATAACTAAGGGAAAAATAACCAGTGAATAGGTATTTACCCATTTTGAGTGACTCCTAGCTATTTATTAAACATCAACTATTGATTACGTTCATTGCTTAGTCACCAATCAGATAAACTATACCTATCAATGTGAGTCAATCCAACAGTCAATAACCCCATGAACTAATGCTATATCTTGGTTTGTCCAGCCGATAACTTTCTCCCAATCTACTCCGACACCAGTTAATATCCTGCTTTGAAGTAGGCTTTGGTTGAGTATATAAGATAAATGTTCGAACCACTACAGTCAGTGTTCGTTCACTATCTTATCAGTCGATTTACCATTATCTATTACTCTGCGTTTAATCTCAGCATTACTCACTCGTTATTCTATAATACATACGAATAATGCTTCAATAACCTGCAGTTCATACAAATCTACTTTCATAGATCATGTTACATAGCCGTAAAGAGAGAGAATAATACAGAGCTGATTGCTACACGGTATACTCACTTTTTCGTTGCGAAGTTGTTTAATTGACTGTCAAGATGTGTGTGTGTATATGTGTTTATTGAAATCTACTTCATAGATTGTTTTCGTTTCGGTCAATCTGTAATCGTGTCAAAGTAATACTTTCATATTATACGTTTTTTGTATAGATAAATCCATTGTGATTATATTCTTAGTAAACCAAATCGATCTTTTCATTGTTTTTTTTTCGAAAAACAAACTTTAATTGTTCTCCTCTTGTATGTTCATCAGTAGCGTACTTATTTAAGTATTTTCATTATTTCAATTTGGATCCTGTGATAAGAACATGTGATTACAAAATGTGTTTTGTACACGTTGTATAATTGCATTGGTAGTATTGTTGAAAAACTCACTATTACTATTAATACTACTACTACTGTGGTGTGGGTTACTTATATCCGCACAAGTAGTATATAATAGTGGTCAGTCATAGAATGTATTTTAGTGGAAGATGGATATGGAAAGAACGGGAACGAAACGCGATCGGTATAAAAACGCATGAACAATGAAATCTGAGAAAATGGATTGATATTTGCAACAGGAACAGTCAAGTTTGAGATGATGGATTGATATTTTGCAAATTAACGATTTACTATATAGTTCTCAGATTCTATTGAGATGCTTTGTAATTATGTGCTCAAATACATTCGATTGTCCCCCACTCGTATTCTGTTCACAACACTACTACTACTACTATCAATAATAATAATACTGAAGTGCTTTCTGAAGTTTAATATTGTGTTTAGTTTATAATTTAAAATATTTGACTTTTAATTCAATAATCCATTCACGACCGGATTTTTTAAGTCCTATTTTGTTTGTTTTTGTTAATTGACCTATAAATTTCATAACGTGATCTACGGGGTTCTAGTTTGAACCTGTCACCGTATCTTGAATGTGTGAAACAGCTAACTAATCTAGTTGTACATTATCATAGACCGATTGAAGTTAGATAAATGGAACGTTGAATGGCGGCTCGTTTGTTCAAAGATCAAAGCCTCGTTGCTAGACTTAATGTCCTGAGTTCTATCCCCGGTACGGTTTAGGGGGAAGAGAGTGCTCTCCTCTATTCGAAATGACATCATCTAGCCACACGTTCGTAGTTGCCGTCAAGGAGGTCCTGCTCATTGCTTTCTCGTGGAGTGGTTGTTGTTTACAAAATTGAGGTGGTGAAAAGCGAGTGTCCGGTTTAATGGATACTGTATATCCACCTAGTGCAGTTGGGAAACCCTGATTCCGATCCACTAATGCCCATGGGCTTCAGACTCCCGAAGGATTATGTGGAGAATCAACCTGTTGTTAGTCATCGCCTTAAGTTACTCCACTATCTTGCGGATTATATCTCGAAGTTTTTAGCACTCGGACAGCATTCCAGTCCACTAACAAAGTTAATGATTTGTGTAGTACGTATATATTTCTTTGCTTTTTTCTCTACCAACGTTTATTTGTTTAAATAATAGTAAATAATCCTCAGTGCTATGTGATCTTTTTTTGTGCGCTTCTGAGAAGTAGTAATACTACAGTAGAATGAAATATCCGTTCAGTTTTCCTTAGTGTTCAGTGGTTGTTTTGATGAAACCAGTTCAATGTGTAAACTATCAAATTCACTTACAGTGTATCATTGTGCTTAATGAATTCTTACATCATTATTTCATTTCTCATTATTCTCAAATCTTAGGATGATCCTAGGGTTATCCGACCAAATAATCAAATAACCAATGGTTCTTTATTAACACATGAAGCACAACGACATGTAATGAAAGATCTAGGCCCATTACCGGTAAGACAAATTATCCCTTTTTCATTTTTGTTAGCGATTTTTCTAAGTCGCTCTCTCCTTTTTTAATCAATAATTACACTTTTAATAATTTCACTAGTGGTCATTCTTTATGTTACATAACTCTAGATAGAGATTGCGTTTTTGCGGTTTGGTCTCAGCCTCCTAACCTAACGGGGATATATTTTGGTTTGAGGAAACCCTAGGTCAAATTATTTACCGAACATGCATGTAATTCGGCTTAAAAATGAGTCTACAAGCTTATACTTTATAAATTAGATGCATTTAGTCAAAATTTATCATCGTTTCGTATTAGTAATTCCTATTTCGCAAGCACCGACCCATATACAAAAGTGGTCTATTCCATTATACAATGTCATAATCCAGCTAACATTTCATTGTGTTACACCCTCAAATACTGTTCTGTTAAATACATGTGTTTAATAAATAGTGTCTTTAAAATGCTTTTAAAACTGCCAACTTCAGTATTCAGACGATAATCATTTCAAATTGTTTTTTACTGAAAAGCAATAGGATTTCTGTAATTCATATTTTATCTAATGATTCGGTGATGTGATATACACACATTAGTGGTTAGTGTCTGAAGTTTTATAGTTTACATTCTAGTTACTTTTCAATATGTAAAATTGAGTTTCATTAGAGGCAGTCGACAAAAGCCCTGAATGTGTCAAGTGCTGACTAAGACAAAACTGGAGAACACTATTCGCGAATTTGCTGTTTAGATCATTCTTTTTAGAAAATTGGCAATTCTTCTTTTTAGGACGCCTGTAACTCAAGAAGCTTAGTTCATCATCTATGACATTGGGATTACGAATCCTCCATATTCGCGTAGCGAGTGATATGATTAAATTTCGCTTTCGGCGAATGTGGACCCAGCTGTGGAAACTTGATGGCTGGCCACTCCATAATGGTTTCTTGTAGATAGATCTTCCTTCGTGTATTCTTGTCATTTCCACATTAAGAAAGTGAATACTTGTTTGTTTTCAACTTCAAGTGTGAAATTTTCCGATGGTTAACAGTTATTAAATGTCTTTAGAAGATGATTCAAATAATATTTATTGTCACAAATGATAAAGACATCATCCATGTACCTTTTATACAAGTGGAAGTTGTCGATAGTCGTTTTAAGTTGGTTGTTTTCTGGACTGTCCATAAAGCAATCTGTTGGTAATAAATCAAGAGGAGATCCCATTTCTATGTCATCTTTTTACCTATGAATTACATCATTGAATGTAAATTGCACTTAACAAGTTCATCATAATAGTAGTTTATTTAAATAAACTTCTAGTAATCTGATATTCCTCTTATTATGGTTTATGTATTTGCACATAAAACTGATGATCTCTATCAGTAGAACATTAGTGAATAGTGATTCGACATCAATAGAGATGACAAGTTTATCATTTACATTCACTCGTTTTATGCATTCAATGAATTCTAACATATCGTGTAAGGAGTGTATACAAATACGTTTTCCTGTCGGTTCTAGGAGATTTGCCAGTCACTTTGCTGTAGTTTGGTAAGGGAATCCGGAATTATCACTATTATTCGTAATTATTATTACTTTGGAAAAATAAGTATATATATATATATATATATTTGCGATTGTACAGCTTTGAAAATGAATTCTCCAAAAAGAGAACTCTTCACTGAATCTATCTTAATTTTCAGAATGGGTTTTGTGGGGAGTTTTAGAAATTTCACAGGTTGAAATCATGAGTCGATTGAAGCTAGACCACCATGGAAAACCTGAAAGCACTGGACGGTCGTTTCGTCCTAGTGTGGGACTCCTCAGTGGTAGTGCGCATCCATGATCCCACGTCGCGGGATTCGAACCCAGGACCTACTGGCTTCGCGCGCGAGCTCTTATCCACTAGACCACTGAACCGGCATCCAAGTGTTTTTGTTAACAATAATTAAACGTAACAGAGGGGTAAAAATGAAATTAAGTAATATCAGAAATTATTATGAATAAAACCATGAGAATATGAGATAGAGAGGGGTGTGATCATTTCAAATACGAAATATTTTAGTAATAGTCTAATGCTAAGATAACGATAAGATGTACTTTTTTGTGCGTACAGTTCTGGCTTCTACTCATGGTTATCAAGAGCTTCTACTGTTTTAAAGAGTTGGATACAAAGAAATCTACATTGGATTTATATGTGATTTATATAAATAACCGTAAAATCAACCTGTCAATCAGTAGAATGACTGGAGCTGATTAGATGTAAAATAAAGAATGGAACTCTCACCTTTGTAGAGAACCTATACACTAGGACATGTTCTCGTATCCAACATAAACAAATAACTATAATATGTAAATAAATCATTATGTGTAATAACACACACATCATTCTACTTTATTAGATTTAACCATTTAAGATTATTCATTCTCTGTCTTATTCATATGAAGTGTGAAGATGATTTCGTTTTACATCTTGTTCATTTTAATTTATACAAACAAATAAACAAACAAAAAATGCATTGATTGATTTGTTGTGATATATATTTCATGGATTCGTTTCTGTATTCCCCCCCCTCTCTCTCCCTGTGTCTCTTGCTATGACAACAGATTTGTCCATTATTCTATTTACAAGTGTCATTAAATAAATATTGTTTGTCATAGATTGATGTGTGTGTGTGTTTATATATATTATCATGTTTATAGGAGAATTTCTTTATTCACAGCTCATGCATGTGTTTGTTTGTATTGCACAAGTTTTAAGTGCACTTGTGTGTGTGTGTGTATAGAGGTAGATGTTATAACTTTAGCTTGAAACCCGAACATGTTTTAGCATCTCATATATACATGATGAATATTTATTATTAGAATAAGAGAGTTGTGGAGATTGTAGTATTTTCACTGCTGAACTCATGAACTGATCTTAGCTAAACCACCATTTAAAACCTGGAAGCAGTAGAAGGCTATTTCATCCCATCACGGGACTCCTCGTTCACTTCTATCACCCGATATGGTTTGAACTTCACTAGTTCCGGTGAAAGCACTACAATCTCCCCTAATTCTCTATGCTAACAACAATCATATGATCACTAAGGACTAGCTTCGATATGCAATTCCTGCAGTTCTGTATGAAGCCATGACTAGTGGAATTCTATCCATCCCACGTGGCAGAAAGTTATCTATCTTATGAAGGGTTGCGCAAGATAATGGATCGATTGAAGCTAGACATGTACATTGTTGGATGTTGGCTCAGTGGTTTAGAGGAAAAGTGTTCGTGTGTGTGACCGAATAACTTGGGTCTGATTTCCGCGTTTGGGATCTTGGGTTCGCATTTCCGCCACTGAGGTGTCCCGTACTGGGACGAAACAGCCTTCCAGTTCTTCTGGGTTTTTAATCGTGGTTTAGCTAAAATTTCAACGGCGAAATATTTATAACCCCTTTAAAAGAAATCGTATTTGTGAAAATCCAAAGATTAAAATAAATCTAATGTTTACTCTAGTGTCTGGTATTTTTATTGTCTTCCATCAACTCAACACCTGACTTCTTTGAAGTTGAGGCGAAATTTCTTACATTTGCAATTCTGTTGTAAAATATGGTAGAATTCATATTCTCTATTCTCATTCAATCTTAATCAGTGTGGAGCCTGGCATAAATGTTGAGCCAGATCAATTTCCCAAGCTACCCTTAAGTATTGGGTCCTTGTTGCCCAGTGCTGTTACATCCTTGATCTGTCTACCCAATAATATTCAGGCGAGAACTTGTCTCCATTTAGGTGAAGACCTTGACACGGCAGGCTAACTGGTTTAACATTGAGGCTAGAAATGCTGGAGTCCGAAGTAATGATATTGGACACAAAGACGAAAACTCTTCTATCATCCAATTGGTTAATAGGCTGGAGAGTGAAAAGATGAGTCAACTGCAATACTACTCGATTTATTCCTGATTCCGATTAGTGTAAAAAGATACATGAATAAATAGATGACTAACATAACCACAACGTACAATCAATTACAAAATACAAACTGACGATTGGGATAGAAAAATAGAGTACAAAAGATTACGTTTAAATTACAATAGCTTTAGAACAGAAAAGAGTATGACAAAATACATCCCTCCATTCGGTTTAATAACTAAGTCCTCTTTTACGGAAAGTGGATAAGTGTGATCCTCTAGACACAAACGCTTAACCTCTAGACCACTGAAACCTAAGGTCCTGGGTTCCAGTCCCACGTACGAAATCGTGAATGCGCACTACTGAGTTCTTATACTAGTACGAAACGGCCGTCTAGTGCTTCCATGTTTTCAATAGTGATCTTCCTTGAATCGACTCATGAATTCAACTATTATAATTTTTAATGACATGTAACATAGTGTCATTCCTAACATTTCATTGTTTGATCAAACATACTGTTTTAGTTTTGTGATTGTATTTCTCAATATTTAAACTTCAATTAATCAGATGAAATCCTTCTTTGTTTGAAATTAGTGTTTATGTTGGTCACTTTTTTATTTGTATACCAAAGACTATAACCATGGGACATCGAAACAAATCCAAATTAAGAGCAAATGCTTTGAGAGGGTGAGGAAGATTTGTAGCTCAAGTGAATGATCTCAGTAGAGTTTGGGTTCTTGGTACTAAATGATTATTTAATCGTGTAGCTTTCATTTATCTTCTGAATAACAAATTTCATAAGAATTGCGCAAAATTTCTCTAAGGCAACTCTATTTATTAAAACTTACTTACTTAGTTACTTACTTACGCCTGTTACTCCTCGTGAAGGAGCATAGACCGCTCACCAGCATTCTCCAACCAACCCTGTCCTGGGCAATCCTTTCCAGTTCCTATTCATCCTTTTCATATCTGCTTCTATGTTTGTTAAAACTACTATTTATTAATAAGTGTAAAACATAACTAAATAATCTGAAGGCCTTCCTAGTTATCATTGAACACTTTTCTTAACGAGAGTATAGTTTGCGTAATCAGTCAGAGGTAATTGAATATTTGATCTGGGAAAGTATATATGTAATAAACTATTAACCGAAATAGATGGCTTACATGATGTTTAAAAAATGTCAAACATTCTTGTTTCTGTTCATTTGGGATAATTATTGCTATGAACACCCAGAATATTCTTCGAAAAAAGTTCAGAAAGGTCCTGAAAACTCTGGGAAACATTTTATCAAATCAGTATTAACTAGAAGTTCCTAAGACACAACTAGAAAGTAGAAAGTCACGTATCACACCCCTGATTGAATGATTGCTTATTTTACTACTATGGTAGGATCACAGAACCCTCTAGAAGCTCAAGGTCATCTGAAATGCTATAAATACCATCAATTTTCAATATATAAACTAACCTTGGAGTAAAATGTTCTTCTCATATTTCACACCTTTTCTCTCGTGTTCAAGTTGTCGTGTAGATTTAGCCTGGAGTTACTAGAAGATCTTAGGAAACTTATTTAGATCTTCAGTCAGAATATTTATCAATTATCAAAAATATTACATCACTAATTTTTTTTCATTTAGAAACAATATATGCAATGCTTAATTGATTTTTGGAATGATCAAGTCAACGTGACATCATTCCTTGAAGTCACTAACTTCTAGTCTGAGCCATGTTGATAGATGCAGACTACTTGGTTGTGGTCCACATGACTATCGTAACCAATGGTTGGAGACTCTTGGTGACATGGCTCGGAATCGATCACAATGGCGTTGGTGTATACACTCTCTATCTTCCCTTAAACTATGAGATTAAAATCATTTCATATCTTTCTTTCCACTAACTAATTCTTTCTCCATGTATTATATCTTTATACATAGTCTTTCTTTTATGTATTTCTACCATTGAAGTAACTGCTTCTATGAATTCGGTGTTTATCTTGTTGTGCGAATGTGGTGTGCCAACTTGAACGGATGTGCCTGGTCCTAGGTTGTAGTTGACTGTGACTGAGTAATAATATTTACAAATTTAAGAAAAGTCATTCTACTTGTACATCATGTAGTTTCTTTTAGTGTTCTCTTGATTTTTATTTGTTTTATTTTATTCTACTCAAAAATAGCCTGGTTGGGAAGAACGTGTACATAGTAATGGTCGTATTTTCTACATTAATCATAGTAAGTTCATTTCTAATTTAAAATTGTTCTATTGAGAATACTATCTACATATGTGTGTTTATTTGCCTATTTGTGTATATCGTGCACAGAATATTATTATTATTATGGTTAGTGTATTTCTCCGTGGCAGTCCGTTCTGTTTTAATTTACGGCAGCGAAACATCGCCATTAAGAGTAGAAGATACTCGTAAGCTACTAGTATTTGACCACAGATGCTTTAGAAATATTGCCCACATCTGCTGGAATCACCGGGTAATTAATAGTGAGGTTAGACTCGGTATTACGGAATGATGGTAAATCAGTTGATGAGGTTGTGATTCTTCATCGACTGAGATGGTTGGGCCACGTGTTACGTATGCCTGAACACCGATTACTACAACGTGTAATGCTAACCGGTGTTCGGGATGGTTGGAAGAAAGTTAGGGTTGACCAAACCAAAACGTGGCATCAGTCCATAAAGTCATTTACTTCTTGTCTTAGATATTTTGGTAGATACAGACTAATTGGTTTGAGGTCTGAGCGACTATCGTAACCAATGATTGGAGACTCTTGGTGACGTGGCTTAGAATCGATCACAATGGCGTTGGTGTATACACTCTCTATCTTCCCTTAAACTAAGAGATTAAAATCACTTCATATCATTCTTTCTACGAACTAATTCTTTCTTCCTGTACTATATCATTATCGCAATCTTTCTTTTATATATTACCACCTCTGAATTAACTACTTTTATGAATCCGGTGTTGATCTTGTTGTGCTAATGAGGTATGGCAACTTGGACCGATGTATTTATGTGCGTGGTCCTACGTTGTAGCTGATTGACTGTATTTTCCGATCTATATTTACCTCCTAATTCGTACTTCAATTGCCCTGTATCTACTTACTACTGCTGGTTTTTGTGTCATACTATTTTCATGATTGGTTTGATCAGTACATGTATGTATAGTGCTATGTGGAGGTAGTCGAGAAGGAAACCCTGTTTGACCATGGTTCCATACTATTTGGAACTCGTTGGAAAAGTGTACCTGTAGTCTCATTGGAACTTATTGTATTTGTTTTTTTTTAAAAAATAATTTCGATAGATGCTCGAACTACTCAGTGGGAAGATCCTCGTCTAGAACGTTTAGGCGGTCCAGCTGTTCCTTATTCAAGAAATTATAAACAAAAATATGATTATTTCCGATCAAGGTTACGAGCTCCACGTGATCCACAAGCTAAATTTGAATTACGTGTTACACGAGCTGGTATATTCGAAGATTCATTCCGTCTAATTTATGGTATAAAAAGACCAGAAGTGTTAATGCATCGGTAAGTTTACATGTATATATTAATTTGTTTAAAGTAGTTGGCAGGAAACCATAGATTTAAAGTTATGCTAGTTATCACTCGTCAGAAAGGTGTATCTGCAATCTGGAACTAAACTGATTGCCGTTGTTGTATTTGAACCTGTATCATAGAGCTCTACAGTCTAACATGTCACTATCGAGATATTTGAACCGGTATTGACCTGTTGAACTGACATAATTACAATTAAGTGACCATTCAGTAGGTTTGTGAGCACACTATTACTTCGAGCCTCCACGAATTCTTTAAGCAAGACTCCTGAAGAAAGGTGAATGCTGAAAAACATCTTTTTCAATCAACATCGAAAGGATGCTTCTTAGAAGCATCTGGAGAAACTCAATATTATGCGTTACGACTTGATTGGCTAATTGCTTACTATTTTAATAAATTTGAAGTATTTCCAGAAGCTTTTGGGGCATTGAGGATATCAGTCAACCTACATATAACCTTTTCTTTGCTTATAAATTAACATGAAAGTAAGGTTTCTGTTCTTACTTTACGCCTTTTTTATACTATTCCGGTCTTAAGTGTAGAAGTTTCTGAGGCATCTCGGAAAAGGGTTAGAAGTTTCACGTCCGAGTTGAAGACGTTTCGCTATCCTCACTATATGTTTTCTTTTCGATCTCTGTAAAATCTTCAAATATTTAAGATAGGCGACTACTATGATCATCTAGTGAGTATTCAAAATATGCGGAAGCTCACCAACTTCATAGTTTCCTTATCTCATTTGTTTCAATGTCAGTTTTATCACAATCCATTTGTAACTGTACTTAAATTGTTATAGTTCACATGATGGTGATTAAGAGTTCCTTATGTTTTGAAATCCAGTCACGTAAAGGCATGCCATCTCAACTTTTTTTCCAATGTAACCATAATTGCTGCCTTCACATATCACAGAAAATGACGAGGAGAAAGCGGATTTCCATGTCCACCTAGATGAGTTAATCAAAAACCATAAGTCAAATTCAGTGGTAGAGAAGGTCTCCAGCATTCCGAAGGTCTATGATTGACCAGCTAAATAAAACACGAGAAAATATCTTATAATTTTACTTTATTACCTTATTGATCAACTCCATGTGGAAGAATATCCTAAAATTCTTCTTACTTCAGTATAAAAGTTCATACATTTCCACTTATCTTATGCAAAATACAAGAATTTGAACATGCGAATAAATCTTATTTTTCATAAACAGACAGATGTCATCAACATATAGCCTGGTGTAGATGTATTTTGACCCATATCGTCATACTATACTAATATAAGGAAGTGAAATTAACACAACGTGAATTGCATAAAAGATCGAAATAATGTTGTAGAGCAGTGATAAGAAGAAAGATTAATCTTTCTGAATATGATTTAAAATGACGTTTGTATAAAGGAATACTGAAATCCAAGATGAAAAGAAACTCATCTGTACCATTGTAATAGATTCTAAATCATGTTATCCAAAGTATCCAATCACTTATTTTGGTTATGAAATGAACCTAAACCAAGTAGTTTGCACTTATCAGTATAGTTCAGACTAAAATCAATAACTTCATAGAATGATACCACTTTTCGTTTTGATTCCTTCTTAGTTTCATCCAAACTACTATTTTACTACCAAATATCTTCTGTCAAAGTAATACATGATCTAATTACCTTAACTGTAAAAGATTCACCATATCATCAATCAATTTAGCACCATTGTCAAGTACCTTTATGTTTAACCACATCATGTATCATTCAATTATTCCATTAAACATGTGCAATACTTCAATGGCATTTATAAAATTACTTACAAAATTAACTTGGTAACTAAGTACTAATTGCCTAGATTCTATTTTTTTTCTTTTTAATATTTTGCTTTTTTGGCTTTTTATAGATTATGGATTGAATTTATTGGTGAAAAAGGTTTAGATTATGGTGGTGTACAACGTGAATGGTTCTTTTTATTATCACGTGAAATGTTCAATCCTTATTATGGTCTATTCGAATATTCAGCCGCGTATGTCTTAATTATGTATATATGTATATTAGCGCATATCTATACGAATATATACATTAGTCCTAGTTCATCAGTTGCCTTTAATTCGTTAGTTTATTGAAAAGAAGATTTATATGCATGAAGTTTTGGTACATATTATGCATTAACATGTATTTTCTTAGTTAAGAGTATTAGGTATTACTAGTTATCTTTCATTATTGTTGATTTCTCGAAATCGAATAGTAATTGAGTAATAGTACTGACGACATTTGACTTTCAGTCATTTACTCACAATTCCAAACCGATCTATGCATATTTCGGTTTATGTAGCCAGGTGATTTCGATTGTTTTTTAATGTTAAACATGAAGTCTTGGAGTTGTCCAATTATGTTTTATTTTAGATCTCTAGGCTCGAGGTATGGCCCTTTAAGAAAAGCAGCTACTTCGGTTTGGGTACCTGAGAGGTATCTCACCCCTCACATAAATTGAATGGTAAAGGGTGGCGCATATATATTTAGTGCCTCCTTGTACCAATGTTTATGTGTTTTTAAATAATGATCAAAAATCTGTCTCTGAAGAGTTACGCCTTCATTATCTGTAATCACCTAACTGCTCTGTTAGTATGAGAGGGAATGGGCTAAAAAAGCATGTTTAATGGTAACCAAACCAATACTTGTTTTCAGTTAGTTCAATTACTGTCCCAATTTATGTCGATTATATATGTGCATCTCCTAATTGAAACTTCCCCAGATTATAATTATGAAAACCCTTTGTGCGACCAACTTTAGTCAAATATTATGGAACAAATTCATCTTTAGTAACCTTTTCATGTCTATTTTTACTGCGTTATCACTAATTATTTGCCAACTGTTTTTCATATGATCAAATTTACACTATGAGTTATACTAATTCTACTACTACCACCACTGATACTACTAATTTTGACTTGGTATAATATTCAGCATGGGATTGTGGAATTTTAATGAAGTCATGAACCGACCTAAGTTAGACAACCATTGAATATTCGTTCTAATGTAGGACTCGTAAGCAGTCTGTATTCACGACTCCACAACCTTGAATTGAACCCAGAACCTTCGGAACTTTTGGACCCTGGCTCAGTGATCAATACATTAAGCGTTAGCACGTGAGACGGATGCACACTCCTGAGGAGTCCCATATTAAGAAACAAACATCCAGGTTACCAAAGGTTATCTAACTTAGATCGCTCCATGATTTCAATGAAAAGTTATTTAACCTGTTTGTCTACGTTTATACAACGTTTATGTTGATGTATATATTTATTCTCTGTCTCATTTACCACTGTACAGGTTCGTATACTTGGCTCCAATCCACATTTTAAATATAATGTTATGCGGCTGTATAGACTAAAGTAGGTTGAACGGGATTCGAACCCTAGACTTGGTAGCTGAAAATTAAACCCCTTAAACACTATATCACTGCTCCATTGAAATGCATAGTTGTGACATTCTTGAACTTATGTACCAGCTCATAATTTTCTTATGCCTCACCGACTAGCCAATCTATTTGTATAAATTGCAATTTTGAGCGAATGCTTATTGGTTAAGGTGTTCAAGTTTCAGACCCTTTTCCACCTAGTGTGGTTTAGGCTACCAAGTACTATCATTAGTCTTAGAATCTAATTCATACCAAAGTACCTTGTAAACAACGATAAATAAATAAATTGAAACCTTTATCCATTCCGTCTCAGTATCTTAAGCGCTGTTAGAGGTATGTTGAGGGTTCTAAATCCCTGATTACCCACACTGTGTTCGTAGCGGCCTAGGAGGGTAATCGTAAAGTTCATTGAAAGAATTCCTGAGGCCCGTCATACATGTGCTCTCCGTGAGGAGTTTTTAATGTATTAACTCCATACTTTAAAAAACCTTACTCTTGGTGACATAAATCAGGGTTGAACTTTTTACTAGTCCCTTCCTTTCATTTTGAGAATACAGTATCACTGCAGATGCTCGTTCCCTGGGGGAAACATCTTACAGTTGTCACACTTCAATACAGTCAACAGTATGACTTCATCCTCGAACCATGTTTTTGTTGCATTCAATCTTACCGTTTTTCAACCAACCTCCCGAGCATGGTAGAATCTAAAGAAACAAATTTTCCAATCAATATAGGTCGATCATGTCATTACGATTTAAGAGTCTGAACATCTTATTGAGAGGTCTTAACTACAATCGCATTTACACTTTTATAACGCATGTTTAAATATATATTATATTAAGTGAATGTATTTATCGGATTTTAAAGATGTTTATCCTTTCCTTCACTAATTCAATGACAAAATAAACTGTATCCAAGTTAAGAGTATGAACTATATATTATAGAGAAATACACTTAACTCCACATTGTTTATCTCACTTTTCTTTTTCCTTGTTACTATGCGTATATAGAAAATTAATTATGATGATATAGGTTGATTCATTCTAGTTACTTAGTTAATTTGTTTCATTAAAGTCAGTTCACAGTGTACCTTATTATTATAAGAAATCTAACTTTTGAACATACATATTTATATGTTCATGTACTTAATAAGTTGAAAATGTAATGTATTTTTTCTATTCTTCTATTATTTTCTCTCCTCCTATCCCTCTCCTGTTCCCCCATTCTTATTCTGTTTTTTTCATTTATTATTATCTATAAGTATGCTTGTTGTCGTTACGTAGATTTATCAAGCAGTCCAGTGTATACCCCCGGCTAAGAACTAATAATGCTGTTACTACCACTACCACTACCACCACTACTACTACTACTACTACTACTCGTGCTATCGGTTGTACTTGTTGAAGAAAAAGTTAAAATCTATTGTGTATGTGTATTAGTATTTTGTGTTTATTAGTCTAATGGAATTTCTTTCTATCTAAATATAATATTTACTGTGGAGAAAAGAACAAAGATCGATATTTGTTATCTCCTATGATTCATTCAATTCATAAAATTTGATCAAATTTTTCGAGAAAAAAAAGATATCACGTACTTTTATTCTCTTTTTTTGTTCAATAAAAGTGTACTATCGAACACTTTGATATTCGTTTAATTTGGTGGATTAGTTGAAGTTAAACATTAACACTATTGAATACTGGTCAACTCAGTGGTCTAGTGGTTAAGCGTTTGCATACGCGAAACTGTTAGATCCTGGGTTTGAATCTCGTGACGTGGGATCGTGGATGTGCACTACCACTGAGGAGTGCCACGATAGGACGAAATGGCTGTTCTGTGCTTCCAAATTTTCCATGGTGGTTTAACTTCAGTTGGCTCATGATCTATACTATTGAATTTTTCCTATTTATTTGATGTTTTAGTCTGGGGCAAAGACTCATCTACACCTTTATGTTGGTGCTCTAGAATTAATGGACTGTGTTCATGAGCTAACATGGGTGGTTAAGTGGAAATGGGACTAACCACCTACTCTATCTGATTTTTGATCAATTAGACGAGAGGAATGAGAGCGTGATTGTTGTCCTGGAGAAAAAGTTTCCTTTATGTGCCTAACTGATTTCTTGCTGAGAGGATCCGTTAGGTATGGAATAGGCGGACTAGGACTAAAGCTATGAACTGTCTTGTAACCAGTGCGCAGTGGTTGATACCAAAATTACTTGTCGTAGGAGCGTGATCAGAGGATATTTTCCATGACAAATTATTTTTGAATTGATTTAAGTGCTTGATATTCATTCAGTGTTTGTAAGCCACCGGGCTATGACTAGAGGTTATCTCATATATACGTGTGCTTATACTATAGGATATATAGGTCTTGGTTTATACACTATATATGCATGTAGTATATACTTGCCAGCGGGAGCGTCTATACCTGTGTGTACTATGGAGTGTACAGACTTCGGTTTATGCATGTAACGCATACCTGTAACCGCTCGCATCTATCCCCACATATATATTGTAGGATGTAGGTTTCCTTGTTATGTCCATTTTATATATACATCTAACGCATACTTGCGGTAATACCACGTTTCATAATGGTATATTCATCATAGACTTTAACGCTTTTGGGATGTTTTATAAGTTTCCGAAAGTGATAGGAAAGTGTAGACTGTCACGTGTCTGTCTGCACTACAGATATCGAAATGTCTAATTACACGTAAAGACTGCACATAAAACTATAACATTTCCGTTTACTTAGCTTTCTCCAATGCTCCAGTTGCACTCTTTACACAAGACTTTTTCTCTCTCCCCGAAGAGTCTAAAGGCTCCCCCCTGCCTAGCTGAGCAAGAATACTATTACTATTTTTTCTGTAGTGCACTTATGAGTGTAGTTTTCACTGGCGGTTTCATTTTCATTAACTGAAGCGAACTACATATGTCTTTCTATGAACATGCCGTTGTAGCGCATTCCGAATTCTCTGATAAAAAAACATAAATCGACAGGTAGAGGTTGAAACGAAATCCTCTATGAAAACTATCCTGTTATATCCAGCATTTATTCATTAAATGTTTGGGAATATACCCGAAAATGTTTGATAACACACACACACACATATTAAACATTGATAATTGTATATGCTACAAAATCATGGATACGTATCTTATCCCTTGTATTTTCTTTATTTAAAAACAAACGAATGATAGGGGTGTTCTTTCAAGTAACTGTTTCATGCGCTACCTCTCTTTTTCTCTGTATTTGTTTACCTTATGAGTTATCATTTTATGTTGCCTGAATATACTGTTTTCACAGATCTGTTGTCCTCCTTTCTAATCACTATAGTTTAATTATTACTTAAATAATTCACTTATAATCTTAGGATAATATGGTTTACATTCGGTTGACTTAACCAATCGTAATGTATTGATAAATCCATTGATTAAGAACAGATTAATGGACTAGAATTTAAACCCCATCTTTTTTTGTCTGTTAGTCACTATCCAACACCTGAGTGTCATAACCGAAAGTAATGATGTATGTACGATGGAGTTCGAACCTAGGACTTTGTGGCTGAAACTCGTTTATTCATTACCAGAAAATATTTTCGAGTCGAGTTGGATTGTAATTAATAATAGAAACTAAGATAACAGTATTTTGATTTATTTAAGATTCATCATTTAGATGTACCTGCTCCCTAGTATTGATTTCCTCATTTAAAATTGAACCTAGTACCTATTGCTTCAAATACTAACATGGTATCCAGTATACTGTTGTATGTGGATATTCACTAACTTATTTAACGGCTCAAAGTCGTTTGCAATGTCTCAGGTGCATCCATTCTTTGCGTTCTCCCAAATTCTAATCTCCTGAATCCTCCTTGTCTCTTCTTTTCGCTTTCCAAATTTATTTCACTGTATTATACTCCTTGAATAACATCTTCAAACCCTCATGTTTCTGATTACTGCTTATACTTTTACTATCTCTACCACTACGGGATTTGAATTGACAAATGCATCTCTGTGCTAATGTGGTATGGCAACTCGAACTGATATATGTACGTACGAAGTTCTACGTTGTTACTGACTGACTGACTTAACGGATATTAAATTATTTGTAAGTGATTACATTTTCCCTTTTAGTTAGTAGTAAGGATGGTAAACTGCTAGAACATTTTTCACAACGTTTACTGTAAAGTAAATTTAAGCTTTATTAATTACTAGCTTTTCACCAAAAACAATCGTTTATCGATACCCTAAATAGTTGTCTTTTATATAGTTTAAAAACAACAATTAAGGATAGGTTTAATAAACTAATGCACTTCCATCCAGTTTAATAATCAATTCTATTATTCAATGTTATATAAAAGATATGGAAGTACATACTTCTAATCACATTTCATACCTTTACTGTCTATTATCGGTATTATCACCAAATGTCTCTTCACGATATATGAAAGTCTTAACTCATATACTTGTTGAGAGTTCCAAAATATCCCTTTTCAAAGTCTCTGGTAGCTCATTAACTCCGGGAAATGTTTTATTCACTCAGCTTTGAATTGAAGTATCTAGAGAAATTAAGGATTATGTTTCGTCACTTCTTTGATGGAATAATTGCCTTCACTATCACTATATTTAGTATGTTTGCAGGAAGTTCTACAAAACGAAGACTTTTTTTCATAAACTGATCTCTTACTCATATTTTATGCCTTTTCTCTATTGATCTGGTTGACATGTAAAAGTAATCTGGAGTTGTAGGAAGCGAATAAGGAAGTCAATAATAAGAGTTCCAGTAGCAGATTTATCCGTTTTTCGTAAAGAGCATCTTTGAAATGAGATATATAAAAATACAGAAGCCGTTAATGACATTTAAAGAGTATATTGAGGGGGAAAGCATAAAACGATTACAACATTGTACACAGATTATTTTCATTCAGGTGCTAATCGTCTTACCTGATTAGCTCTACTTTAGTATGGTGAATTATGTTGAAACCTTATGATCCTCGATAGCTAAAAGTCAATAAAATCAATGACGCGGTATTATTTTAAACGCTCTGAACTTTAACATCCCCTACCTTGTTGTTATTTATGCAGTTGGATAATGTCACTGACCTTCATATCGAACAGTGGCTCAGTGGTTGATGCGTTTTTCTCTTAGTTACTAAGTCCCGGGTTCCAATCCCGCCTCCACTTAATTCGGTTCAAGCAACCGGATAGTATCGTTAGCCTCCACAAACCTAAAGTAAACGGTGAATGAGTTAATTTGAAAAAAGAAAGTGTATCGAAATCGTTATTCAAAGGTGAATAGATGGACCTGTTTACTAGATGGCATTGATTTCACTTATAGACCCGTTTTTGATATAATTTCACCATACATAATTTTATTTCCTATTTCTTAATATAGTAGTGTTTTATCGAATGACTTATGTATTTCAAGGTAATAACCTATTATTAGTCGGAGTTTAGAAAATATCGGTTAGTATTCACAGTTAACTTCTGATTCGTTCATTCTAATCTACTTCAAATAATTAATAAGTTTCTTATTTGCATTTGGATGATTTATTCCAGTTGCATAACTATCTATTATATTAATACAAGTGTCGTTCCCACTTGAATCATTGGTTGTGTTATCCTAAATGTAATGTAAGCATTAATTAATCACTCTGACTTCCTACGTGCAAGTCATACAGTAATAAGATGTAATTAACAGTTATGTTACGGTTCGAATAGCAAAAGAGAACACATTTTACTTCAAAGCAATTATTATTTCTTATTAACATAAGAGGGTTTGTGTGGATAATTAAATTTCTATTAGTTTGCATCTTAGTTAAATAACCATTGCAAACCAGAAAGCGTTAAATGCATACTTCTGAGAAGTCTTATACTAAGACGAAACAGCTATCCAGTGCTTCTTAGTTTATAATTGTGAACTAATTAAGATCATTCTATGTTACCAAATATAAAATTCCGTAGTCCCCATCACCCCTCCTATAGAAATAGTAATAATCATGTACTCTTTAATGACTTATTCTGAGCAGTAATTCCTAGAGTTTTAATAAGGGTCTTATTTTCCATTATCAGGAAGATCGTGACTACACATTCCTGAGAAACGCGATAGCCACCAAATGCCCTGGTACGGTTGAGAGTGGTGACAGTCAACCCTCCCTCTCTAAATGCTCTCACATAGCCACGTGCATACAACCACTGCCAAGGAAGTCCTACTCATTGTCTTCTCGCATCACGGGTGTTGTTTACGAAATTGAGAGGACGAGAAGCGAATGTCCGGTGCCTAAACCAGGTTGGTGGACATGGAGAGTCCACCTAGGGTAGTTGGAAAACCCTGGTTCCAAACCAATGGTGCACATAGGCTCCAGGATTCTGAAGGAACAAACAGCGTATGAACCTATTGTTGATTACTGGCCAATATGGGACTGCATCTTCTGACGTTACTCCACTGTCTTGTGGATCAGACCTTTAGGTCTAAGGCTCTGGGTGTATCCTAAGAAAACCATCCGCTTCGGTTTGGGCATCCGGGCAGTATCCCAGTCCTCACACAAATCGAATGATTTATTTGGTGCCTCCTTGTACCACTGTTTATGTGTTTAAGTAAATAAATAAAGCCCGATAAAACAGCTGTTCACTGTTTTTGTTTTTCAGTGATTTGTCTAAAGTCGACTAACCAATCAGATAACGAGTCATATACATTTGGCTAAATATAGTTTAAGCATTATAGCTGATTTCAGTACTTGATTAAAAACCATAAATCTAATTTTTAACCCTTAACCATCAACAGTAAATGAGAATTCCAAATGCTTTATAACTCTCGTTTAGTTCTAATCATCAGTAGGTGTTCATTCTTAAGGTCACTTCAACATCCCTCGAATGTCGTTCATAAATTATGGTCTCTGTGATGTAACCTATGAAATTACTATTTCTCCTAGAATTCTTCATTTAATCCTTCCTTTTTTTTTTGTGTGTGTGTGTGTGTGTTTTCTCTCTTATCCATAGTGATAATTATACACTTCAAATTAATCCACTATCTGGTATGGCTAATGAAGAACATTTAAAATATTTTAAATTTATTGGACGTGTTGTTGGTATGGCTGTATATCATGGTAAATTAGTTGATGGATTTTTTATTAGACCATTTTATAAAATGATGCTTGGTAAAACAATTTCATTAAAAGATATGGAAGCTGTTGATTCAGAATATTATCGTAGTTTAAAATATATATTAAAAGAAGATCCTATATCATTAGATTTAACAATGTCTGTTGAAGAAGAACATTTTGGTGAAACAGTTGAAGTTGATTTAATTAAAGATGGTAGAAATATACGTGTTACTAATAGTAATAAAACACAATATATAGAGTAAGTATTTATTTCATTTATTATTATTTGATTATTTCACTTTTTTGTTATTGTTGAGATTATGGACTGATCAATGTTAGACTACCATTGAAAACCTTGGAAGCACTGGACAATCATTTCGTACTGACAATAGAATACACAGATATGATCTCAAATTTAGGAATTGAACCTAGGACTTCCGGTTTTGAACGAATACCACCATCTTCCCATGAGATCGATAAGTCTTGGGTCCGACACCCAATTTCGAGGTCATGTATACGCACTTCATATCAGTACGAAATGGCCGTCCAATGCTTCCAGGTTTTCAATGATGGTCTAATATTGATCGCTTCATGATTTTATTAATAATTATTGTTAATTATTGGTAAGTTATCGATACCTGGGTACTAATCATTCCTTCTTTTCAGTCAGCCAGTTAGTCGTTATCAAAGTACGAATGAGTTCTATTGAAAAACGGATAGAACGCGATTGTTAGCATTTAACATTTTAATTATTATGGCCTTACTCATGAATAAGACAGAGTGGAAGTAATACTTGATATTCAAGTGGAATAAATTGAAATAATACAACTTTATAATAATTTTAATAGTTGAAGTCATGAAACTGATAACACCTGTGTTCGAATCCTGCGAGGCGGGATCGTGGTTGGGCACTGCTTAGAAGCTCCACATTAGGACGAAATGGCCGTCCAGTGCTTCCAGATTTTCCATGATGGTCTAGTTTCAATTGACTCATAATCTCAACTATTAAATTTAATACAACTTTGTATATATATATATATATATATATATATATATATATAACGACATAAGTTCATCCGAAGAATTGAATTGTTTAATCCTGTTAATCATCTCAACATATTCAGTCAGTCAGCAACAACGCAGAACTTCATACGTACATCAGTTCGAGTTGCAATACCACATTAGCACAGAGAAGCAGTTGTCGATTCAAATCCCATAGTGGTAGAGGTAGCGAAAATGTTACATCCTTGATCTGTCTATCCACTTTTGGTGCTGAAGATAACTTGTCTAATCTAGATTAAGACCTTGACGCGATAGGCTGACCGGCTTAACCTTGAGGCTAGTATGCGTGTGTTCGAAGTGGGATAGAGAGACGAAAACTATTCTATCACCTGATTGGCTCACAAGCACGCTAGTGAGAGAAGACAAGTCAACTGGAACACTACTTGATGTATTTTCAATTCCGATCTGGTTCCTGATTTCCCTATTTTAGATCAGTGTAAAGATACATGAATAAATAGATGACTACTAACCCGACCACAACGTACAATAATTAGGAAAATACAATTATGTCCAAAACTGGGGATTAGTGTAGAAAATAGAGTACAAAATTTTCTGTTTAAATTACAATAGCTTTGGAACAAGAAGGGCTATGGCAGTGAATCATACATCAAACGAAAGCTCTTATTCTGTAGAATAGACTAGGGCCAAAAATAAATGTTGATGTTTTACAAGCTTTGAATTAAATGAAATAACGTCCCGAAAAATAGCTTCCGTAGTTTGTCAAGGCTTCTTGTTTCTCTCTTCACATCGGAAAGTATAACCAGTAATCGGGACGATTAGGGTTTGAAAGTGTTATGCAAAATGTATAACCCAGTGAAATAAATTTGGAAAGAGAAAAAGTGGGGACATGACAAATACAGAAGATTAGAATGTGGGAGAACACAAAAAAGTGGATGCACCTTGCGCCATTGCAAACGATTTTGAGCCATGTCACCCACGGTCTTGAACCATCGGGTACTATCATCTCGCGGATCTCAACCAGGTAGGTATTCTACACCTACTAACATGGCTCAGTCCACTTGTCAGTGACTTCATGGATTTGTGTCGTGTTTTGATCTAGTCGCCTCTAGCTTTCTTCCAACCTACTTCTACCCTATAAAACACTGAATATCGTGGCAGTCGATGGTTGGGCATTCGTAACACATGTCCCAGCCATCTCAACTGATAAAGTTTCATCAGCATATTCATTATTCATGTACTCATTTTACAAATTTCTTTGTTTATTTATTATTTTCTAGACGAATAATAAATTGGCGATTTGTTTCACGTGTTGAAAAACAAATGTGTGCCTTTTTAGAAGGTTTTAGTGATTTAATTCCATTAGAAGCATTACAAATATTTGATGCAAATGAATTAGAATTATTAATGTGTGGATTACAAGATATTAGTGTAACAGATTGGAAAGCGAACACTTTATATAAGGGTGAATATCATGCTAATCATCCAGTCATTGTAAATTTATGGAAGGTAATAATAATGATCATAATAATAACTGTTTATATAATCATCGTCATCATAAGTAATAGTAGTAGTAATTGTGGTGGTGGTGATGGTGATGATGGTTTGTATCTTCATTATTCTCAATCGTCTTCATAGTTTAAATCACGGATTGATCTTGGCTAGATCATCATTACTGGACAGCCATTTTGTCCTAGTATATGACTCCTCGGCAGTGTGCATCTACGATCCCATCCCTGGGAACAAAACCTAGGACCTTTGAATTTAGAAATCTGGAAGTTAAACGAAATTTCTGGGTCCGATTCCCGAATGCGCGGTCATAGACGCTAACTGTCGTGGAGTTTCAGATTAGGACGAAACATTTCTTTTATACAATATGTTGCATCACACACACTGGATTCATCTTGTGTTCTCGAATTGTTAGACATTGATTACTTGCTAGTTTCTTGATGTTACTTCTACTCTCAAACGTCGAATACAAAAATAAAAGGAGGGAAAAGTATAAGGATCTTTACTTCCAACATTAGTTTGTGTACAGAGGACAAGAGTATTTATGGTACTTTTAGATTTTGGAAGCTTCTGGAAAGCATTTCATATCACAGAATAACTGTAGCAAGATGACTATTGGATAACCTAAAAGCACTAGGTAGCTATTTCGTCTTAGTATGGAATCCTTAGTAGTGGTGATCCATGACACGTCCCTAGGGATTGAACCTAAAGACTTTTGGATTTTTCAGTGATGACTTAACCTTTGAACATTTAAGAAAGCATCCAATAGTTTATGCTTCTAACTTCAGTCAGTTTGTGACATCGCGCAACCATCAAATAGTACTGTTGATAGGGTAACCACCTGACTCCAAATATGGTTGAATCGTTTTTGCCCCCTCATCATTAGTTTCCCCCAAATGCCCTGGTACGGCCGAGAGTGGGGAGAATCCGCTCCCTCTCTCGTAATGCTATCACACGGCCACGCGTATATTGCCTCTGCCAGGGAATTCCTACTCATTGCCTTTTCGTGGCTGGGATGTTGTTTACGAAATTGAGAGGACGTGAAGCGGATGTCCGGCGCTTTAACCGGGTTGGTAGACATGGAGAGTCCACCTAGGGAATTTGGAAAACCCTGATTTCAAACCAATAGTGCACATGGGCTCCAGTATCCTGAAGGAACAAATGGCGTATGAACCAATCGTTGGTCACCGGTTACCATGGGAATGCATCTCCTCACGATGCTCCATTGCCTTATGGACCAGACCTTTAAGTCAAAGGCTCCGGGTGTTGACCCCCTAAGAAAACCATCTGCTTCGGTTCGGGAACCCGGTTAGTATCACAGCTCTCACACATATCAAGTGAGATTTGTGTGGTGCATATCTATTTGGTGCCTCCTTGTACCGATATCTATGTGTTAAAATAAATAATATAAATAACATCATTGGTTAACAATCCGATCTAAAGTTCACTTGATTCTCTCTCGACATCTATATGCCTTTTCTCTTACACCTACTTTTCTCATTTCAAAGGCTATATACACATTTACAAATGAATTAAGAAGTCGTCTACTACAATTCGTCACTGGGACATCACGTGTACCTATGAATGGTTTTTCAGAATTATGGGGTTCAAGTGGACCACAGAAATTCACTGTTGAGTGTTGGGGTTCTGTGGATCAGTTGCCTCGTGCTCATACCTGGTACGTGTGTTTTTTTAAGGGAAAATATTGTTTAATTTTCTAGCTATTTGGATATTTTATCAGTCAGTCAGTCAGCTACAACGTAGGACTAGGCATATATATGCATCTGTCCAAGTTACCATACCTCATTAGCACTACAAAATGAATACCGAATTCATAGAAGTAGTTACTTCAATGGTTGTAATATATAAAAGAAAGATTGAATATAAGGATAAAGTATAGGAAGAATGAATTCGTTCGTAGAAAGAAAGATGTGAAGCGATTTTAATCTCATAGTTTAATGGAAGACAGAGTGTATACACCGACGCCATTGTGATCGATTCTGAAAGATGTCACACGTAATTTCCAACCATTGGTTACGAAAGTCACGCGGACCCCAACCAAGTAGTCTGCATCGACCAACATGGCTCAGACTAGAAGTTAGTGACTTCAAACACTGATGCCACGTTTTGGTTTGGCCGCCCCTAATTTTCTTCAAACCATCCCGAACGCCGGTTAGTATTGCACGTCGTGTTAATCGGTGTTCAGGCATACGTAACACGGGGCTCAACCATCTCGGTGAAGATTTACAACCTCACCAACTGAATATTTTATAGCACCCGACTGTTGATTCATAATTTTCTATGAAGCATATCAGTTGTGGTTTAACATAGGACATAACAAAGGCATCACGTTTGAATTCTTTCATCTCACACTAACACCATGACAGAGGTTATTAAGAAGGTGACTAGCAGAACAGAAGAAACTCACAATGTCTTTTACACTGCGACGTTAAGCATAACAAATTTGCAGCTTTTAAAAGAACAAATGAAGTCAATGAATAAGAAGTACAAAATACCACTAAACTTAAATTTCAAAGGAAAGTTGAAGTAGTGATATGAATTCACTATTGTGGTCGTTTTCAAGTTATGTTATTCAAAGTCTCTAATAATAGATTTTGAGTGTAATCTTACAGTTCCTTTTCTTCCCTAAAAGTCCGACCGCTGCTATTACCTTGACATGGCGGTTGGACTTGCCGATCGTGGTAAACCAATCAGGCTATGCTGGCTAGAACAATCGTTTCTCAAGGTCCTACCATACCAGGGAGGTCGGTTGAAGAGCGGTAAAACTAAAAGCAGCAAACTCCAAGGTCCGAGGGCGAAGTCGTACTGCTGACTGTATAGACGTTTGATGGCAGTAAGATGTTTCCCTCAGATAATCAGCATGATAGCGATGCTGACTTTCTACAAAGCAAGGAAAGGGTTAGGAAAGGTCGACCCTAAAAATGCACATTTCGCCTTGTCCCACAGATTTCTGTTTCCGTCGGTAAGGTCTCAACAAGTACGGAGCTAACACAAAACTGTTGTGTGTGACTGACTTTTAGCAGTCGTCCTTTGGACACTGCGGTCACTCAGGTCATTAAGATTTAGAAGATCTCTAGAAGAGGAGCCCTTCCACGGTGTATGAGACCGGGAAGTGATAACCACCCGCATACCTCTAACAACACTCAAGATTGACTTTTTAAAAGGTCTCTTTTGTATAGTAGCGGTCAATGTGGTGATGCAATGTTTTCATTCTGGCCCCCCTTAGCTTTCTTATATCTTTGTTAGAACTATGACTAATCTTGATGCATGTAGTTCAAAGATCACAGATATTGTTGTTCTAAAGGGCGACCTCAACATGTAAGAAAATAGATCAATAAAGTAACAATAACAATTGCAAGAAAAGATATTATCTGACATTGATCATGTGAATGAGACATCGGTATCAGGCACTAACTCCGCTAATCATATCTCGCCAACGAGTGATTTCATCTTTCTGTGGACGTTCGTATTTGATCAATATATCGGCCATAGAGCCTGGAACATTAGTGTTTGTTGACCTAGGCTATTAAATCATATGAGAATGAGATAAAATTAACAAGATATGTAGCGAAATAATCGAATTAATGTAGCAACAATGATAATTTCAAAGATTGAACACAGAATATGATTCCATATGACAGAATGAAAGGGTATATATGAAGGAGTTTTGGAACTATTCCTTTAAAGGAGATGATAGAGAATGAATCCCGGATGTACATCATTGTGACCAATTCGGCACCATCTCGGTGAGCATCTCTGACCACTGACTGTGGTTATCGACAATAGATCGTATATTCCAGTTTCATTATATTGGCTTTCGATTGATGGCACTCATATAGTATCACTCAGTGTATCCTTTACACAAACGGTATAAACGTTCGTCATGTGTTTGAATTTGTTCATTATTGACACATTTGAATAATTTGTAATGTTTTCATTACATTTTGTTTAACTTTGTTGTGCATATGTGTGTGTTTTCTCATCTCTTTTTCCCTCTTTTTCTTTCTATTCCACAGTTTTAATCGTTTAGACTTACCCGCCTATCCAACATTTGAAGAGTTACGTTGTAAATTAATTATTGCTATTGAAAATGCTGAAGGATTTGAAGGTGTCGATTGAATGATTATTCTTATCCTTCTACATATACTACTATTATTATTTAATAAATTTCATTTCTTTACTGGTATTTCTTTTGGTTATTGTAAATTCTACATAACATAATGCACATAATAAACCATGCAGCATTTCCACTTGGATAATGCTGTAATTCACAAACTTTCGAATACCTACGTTACATATATTTAGACATCTTTTTTCGGGGGGTGGGAACTACCACTTGGGCATCGACATATGTATATATATATGTTTGTGTTCATGTCCTTCCCCCCCCCCTCCAAGTCAAATAAAATACTCCCTATCACTAATGGTAACGAAATCATGAAAAACAAACTTTATTGTATTCACTATTCAACAAACAAAGTGAATAAGACAAAATATTCAACTCTTCTGAATATCATTGTTGTTTCTATGAACACACAAAAAAATTATGTAATATAAGTAATTTCATAATTTATTTCAATGGGGTTTATTGTATTTTAAATCATATTCACTTTAATGATATTTAGTTAATAATTAATTAATAGTTCTTTATTGTATGTGTGTGTATGTACACTTACTTACATCTGTTACCGGGGTTCTTCATCGAACTCCTATTCTGCATAAACTGATGTAAAATTGTTCTTTAATCTTTTCATTTCTTTTCTTTCATTAAACCGATTGACCCTGTGTTGTTGTTGGTGTGGGGGGGTGGTTCATGTTGTCATTGTATATTTCAATCGTACTCTTGTTATATATATATATATATTTTTTTTCTAGTTATTATATCACTTCAACTTCCGCGATACCCTTTAATCATTTATTCCCCATATTGTTCTCTTCATGAGGATGAAGAGATATTAGATTATGTAAAATAATAATCAATGTATATTGTTGAGTTTATTTGTTCGCTTGTTTTTTCTCACAGTGAAAATCGAATAATCAATATCGCACTATAGTTATGTGTAGTTGTTTTCCAATATTTATTTCGCTTCCCCTCCTGTTTACTGTCCCGTTTGGTCTCCGCCCCTCCGTGGACAGAACATACCAATGCTTTTTCTTAAAATCTTCATTATTTACATTGTTTTGACTGAAGCAGACAAGATCATCTCTTTCTTATACATATATATATATATATATATATATATATATATATATATATATATATATATTTAGGTAATTAAGGCAAACATTAGTAGTGTGTGAATACTGAGCTAATGAATTATGTTGATTTTTGATTTGAGGCCACTAATTCCTTTTTATACATGTATACACTCATGTATATCACGAAGAGTATTATTACTATTATTATTATTATTGTAATTACTATCACTTATTAATCACCCTCTTGTCACCCTACTAACCTTATGAACATAAGTAATTCAGTTTGATTTGTTGAATAAACCGTATAATCACAATTCACGTTGTTGTTCAAGTTATACTCTATTAGTTCTTTGTGTTGTTGTTGTTGTTTGGAATAAACATAGAATTAGGAAAGAGAAGAAAAGAACAAAAGAAAGAACGAAAACCGGTCTCTTTTCTCTTAGAATTCATTTCACACTTCTTTCTCAAACAAATTGGTAATGAGTTGAATATCTGATGGATAACTAAAATGACCTTAAGAATGATTATCTACTTATTAGAATTATCATTTACTATGAAGAATTAAGATTAAGATTTACATTTAGTTGAACAACAATAATTGGAATTGAGATTGAATCTTTTCCAACACAAACTGATATCAGTCTATCATGCTAAAATTTAAAATCTGCTCTCTTAAATTTGTTCAATTTGTTTATAAATTTATAATCTCACCGACCATTTATGAACAACTGAAAAAGAAATAGGGTAAAATGATGCGCGAACACATGTTATTGAATATTGATTAATTATAATGCCCTTGTACGACCGAAAGTGGGGAGAGTGAGTTCTCCCTGTTGAAATGCTCGCACATGGTCACGTGCATACAACCACTGCTAGGGAAGTCCTACTCACTGTCTTCTTGTGGTGAGGATGTTGTTTACGAAATCGACAGGATGAGAAGCGAATGTTCGATGCTTTAAGCGGTTTGGTGGATGAGGTGGGTCCGGCTAGGACAGTTGGAAAACCTTGATTCCAAACCAATGGTGCACATAGACTCCAGTATCCTAAGGAAACAAATGGTGTATGAACCAATTGTTGGTCACCGGCTACCATGAGACTGTATCTCCTGACATCGCTCCACTGCCTTATGGATTAGACCTTTAGGTCAAAGGCTCTGGGTGTGGCCTCCTCAGAAAATCACCTGCTTCGGTTTGGGCATCCGGGCAGTATCCCACTCACACAAATCGAATGATTTATGTGGCGCATATCTATTTGGTGCCTCCTTGTACCAATGTTTATGTGTTTAAATAAATTAACTGATTATAATAATATTTCAACGAAATATGATCTTGTTTTTTTACGTTCTTGGCGGTTGTTGGTTTGTTTTAGTTACTTTCTCCCTTTAAGGTTTATTCTCCCTGTTTTATTTTATGCTTGCATTCTATAAAGTAACCATTTTTGATGTGGGTTTGTTCTCTAATTATGTCGTTCAGAAGAACGATGAGAGCTCCATGACCAAATCGTCCAGCTCAGAGAACAGAACTCCATGAAAATCATCTACTTGAGCAACAAATGGTCGCTCGCGCACGAGAACACCAAGTCTTGGGTTCGAATCCTGCGGGGCGGGATCATGGATGCGCACTGCTGAGGAGTCCCATACTAGGACGAAACATCCGTTCAGTACTTCCAGGTTTTCCATGGTAATCTAGCTTCAATTGGCTCATAAATTCAACTATTAAATTTTTTATTTATTTTAACATTTAATAGTTAGAATTTATGTATAAACACTAGAAAATTAGATGAGATTAAACTAGTTGACACTATATTTTGTGGTTCAACTAATTATGATCTGTTTTTCTCTTACTTTTCTTTCACATCTTTTCATACATAATCACATTCCACAGTTTTCTCTATCGTCATCATTTTTTTGCCAGTCCTAAAGCTAAATATATTTAATAAACAAAAGTGAAGTTTTCATCAATAAACTGTCTATGAATTGGAAAAGCATAATGAGCTAAAGACAGTCATTTTGTTGTAATTGGAGAATTTAAAATGATAACAGATGACCTACAAGTTAAGATATAAGCGTACAGTGAGTACGAGTATACTGGTCTGTTAGTCATAATCAACGTCGAGGCTGGGATACATGTTATTACGTCCTTGATCTGTCCACCTAGTAATATACAGAAGATAACTTGTCTCAATCTAGATTAAAGTCTTAACACGGTAGGCTGACTGGCTTAACCCTGAGGCTAGTATGCGTGAGTTCGAAGTGAAACTAACTGCTTGTGGTAGGCAGATGAAAACTACCCTACCATATGATTGGGTGACAAGCACGTGAGAGAGAGAAGACGAGTCAACTGAAACACCATATATATAAATTTGGTGCCTCCCTTTACCAATGGGTCCTAATCTCAAAAGGCGAGATCGTGGATGTGCACTGCTGAGGAGTCCCATACCAGGACAAAACGGTCGTCCAGTGCTTCCAGGTTTTCCATGGTGGTCTAGCTTTAATTGACTCATGAATTCAACTATTAGATTACTACTCGATATATCCCTAATTCCGACTCACATCAGTGCAGAAGTATACATGGATAATATATATATATATATATATATATATATATATATATATATATATATATATATATATATATATATATATATATATATATATATATATATACTAACATGACTACAACGCAAAAACAATTAGAAAATTACAATTACGTTTAAAACTGGAAATTGCAGTAGAAAATAGAGTACAGAAGATAATGTTCAGTTTACAATAGCTTGGACCAGAAAAGGCTATTGCAGTGAATCAAACGAAAGCTTTTGTTTTGCAGAGTAAACTAGGAACAAAACTGAATAGTAGTGTTTTACAAGCTTTGAATTAAGTGAAATAACGTCCTCAAAAATAGCTCCCTCAGTTTGTCAAGGCTTTTGTTTCTCTGTTCACATCGCATGTATTGATCAGGAAGTACCGACTACCTTTGTCATTGTGATGACGCGATTGAGCTATGTTGCTTGGAATATTCGTTCTTTTACGTCCTATCATGTCAGCCAGGTCGTTTGCAATACGGTTAGACTGAAACTATTATGTTAAATTCTGAGTACGAAGTCGTACTGCTGGTTTCACTTGTATGTGACACCAGTAAGGTGTTTATCGCAGATAACTAACGTCTTCGGCGATTCCACGTTCTCCCTGAAAATGGTATATCTTATCTCGCCTCCTATATTTCCGTAGCTGATGGAAAGTTCTTTAAAGTACGAGGCTAACATACTTAAAACTACTGAAAAAGGACTTTTCATGTCCGGTTTCAAGAACTTGTTTCTTGGGCTTTGCAGCTACATTCTGAGAACACCTAAACTACTATGAATCTAGTTTGTTTTTCAAGTACTTCATGAAGAACTATTCATTCAAAATATGGTCAATGTAGTATGCTTTGATTACGACATACTATTCTCTGATCAATAATATTCAATGGTGATTGAAACCTAATTTAGTGACCGTGTATTTTCATTTTGCAGTTTTATTCTGAGTTGAGTTATCGCCATTTTCCAACAGTCACTGCGGATATTTAAGACTACATTAGATCAACCCATGTTGGCGTATGTGTATCTTGAGAAAATATCTTCTGGATGTATATATATATTTTTTTAAATTGTGACTAACAATAAAAACTTAACACCGAGAGTGGTGGGAGTCCGCACTCCCTCTCGAAATGCTCTCACATGACCACGTGCATACAACTACTGGAAAAGAAGTCCTACTCACTGCTTGCTCGTGGCGTTATTGTTGTTAATGAAATTGAGAAGACGAAATCCGAACCTTCGGCACTTTAACTGGGTTGGTGGATACGGAGGATCCATCTAAAGGAGTTGGTGAACCCTGATTCCAAACCAATGGTGCACAAATGGCGTATGAACCTATTGTTGATCACTGACTACCATTATACTGCATCTCCTAACATTGCTCCACTGCCTTATGGATTAGACATTTAGGTCGAATACTATGAGTGTCCCCCCCCTAAGAAAACCACCTGGCTCAGTTTGGGCACCCAGACAGTATTTCAGCTCCCACACAAATCGAATGATTTACGTGGCGCATATCTATTTGGTGCCTTATTATACTTATGTTTAAGTGTTTAAATAATAATAACACCATTTAAAAATATTTTAGTATTTGAGATCATGAGTCACTTGAAGTTAGACAACCATAGAAAACCTAGAAGCAATGAACGGCTGTTTCGTCCTATTGTGGGGACTACTCAGTGGAAGTGCGCATCCATGATCCCGCCCCTAGCGAGATTCGAACCCGGGCCTATCAGACTTGTGCGTGAACTATTAACCTCTAAACCACTGAACTGGCCAGCATACAACAATGTTAATGTCTAACTTCAAATAATCCACGAAATCGACCAACACATTCACCATTGTCATCAGTGAGTTACTATCTCACAACAGACCCGGTTGAACTCTACTGGTCACTACTTCTCATTAGAACTCCAGAAAAGATACCTTTTAAATCAGAAGAGTTTTCCATAATGATCTATAGGCTTTATCAACTAAAATGTATTCACAATAAGGAAAATAATTATGAAATAATTTTATTTATTTATTGATACAAATGCATACGTGCACACACGTACGCACGTACGTACGTACGAGTGCACGTATTTACAGACACACGTAATTTTCATCTTTCAAGTTTACCTATAACACTATAATTGAATATTGAAAACAAATAACCTTGGCCGCTTGGTTTCATAATCCTTTCATAAATGATACTAATAGTTTATTTATATTAACCAAAAGGAATCATATTCAGATCTATATACAAAGAGAGAAAGAGAGAGAGAGACACATATAATTGAACTATCAGCTGATTAGAACCTTTTTGAGTTAATCATTCCTTTTTTGATAACCTTTCATTATGTTGACATTAGAAAAAAAACTGAAGAAGAAGTTCGAATAAATAAAAAAAGTCAAGTGTTATTCATTCATATACATCAAGTCGAATAGTATTAGTGTTCCAATGGAGTTCAATTAGATTTGTTGT